TAATGCTTTAAATAGACGCACCTTAAGAAGGAAAACAACGCACCTTAAGCACATAGACCACACACCTTAAGAAGGAAAACCACACACCTTTAGAAGGAAAACCACGCACCTAAAACTTTAGACCGACGCACTTTAAAAAGGAAAATCATGCACCTTAAATTTGACCTAGATGCAAAAAAAATCAAATTACCACCGCATTTTTTTTAATCTGTGTTCAATATGGACTATTGATTTTTATTAGATCAATGGTTGAGATTAAACCACATCTCCACACCGGAAGCCTATCACTGCATTTGAATTTAATTCTCTCTCTCTCTCTATATATATATATATATATATATATATATATATATATATATATAATATATATATATATATATATATATATATATATATATATATATATATGATTATTAATTAAATTCGTTTTTTAAGGTATGTCAAAACAACCAATAAATATAAAGAATTGTATCACCATGTCAAAAGTTGAACATTAAGAAGTAAATTATTCAAGAGAGGACCACATAGAATATTATGTTTAAAGTTTCAATTTGACTTCCAGATATACTTATTTGGTATACTATGCATGTAAAAAAGTTACACTTTTTGTCCCTAAGTTATAGAATAATTATAAAATTTATCTCTAATTGTTGGTCGTTTTCACTTTAAGCTACTATTGGTGTTATACTTTTCATCTTTTACTAACAAAATATTAGAGACAAAATTTACAACATTAGTATAGGTTATGAACGAAAAGTGCAAATCCAATGATATATAGTTTAGGAACAAAAAGTGAATATATACGACCAATAATTAAGGACAATTCTTACCGTTACCATATAACTTAGAGACAAAAAGTATACTTTCCCATGTAAAAATGTTGATTTGTGTTCGATAGATTGACAAATACTCCATCATAAGCTCTATCAAGTTAGATTGTGATTTGACTTATTAACTATTATGTAGTGTCAATCTGTTACCATTCTAAATGGGTGGTAATAGAATTGAACCAAAAAAAAAAAAAAAAAAAAAAAAAAAAAAAAGGAAAATGGCACTTCTTCCCCCTAAGTTATATACTTATAGCACTTTCTCCTCCTGAATTATTCAAGTGGCTGTTTTTCCCCCTGAAATGTTAAATGGACATATTTAGCCTTAAAATAAATATTTCATTTATTTTCCTTCTCCAACAAATTATGACAATAATTTGGTTCAAACCAAACAAACACTATAGCAACCAAACCGAAATATTCCAATTGCAATTTAGAATCGAAACTCGATATTTAGAGTTTATTAAAATCGTGAACCGGAACGGACGATTCATGTTCTGAACTGAAAAAATAAAATACATTTATTGTTGAATTTAGACTATTTAAAATAAAAAATAAAATTTTAAAATAAAGACGGTTCAAAATCGCGAACCAGATCCAGAACGGCCGATTCACGGTTCAAGATCCAATTTTTTTAATTCATAATTTTAATAAATTGAAATCCAAATATTAGGTTCTAGATCTGAATCATAATCGCAAACTTTTTATTCAATTGCTATAGTGTCCGGTTCAGTTTGATCTGCACCGTGGTCATCCCTACGTATACGCGATAATTTATTGGAGAAGTAAAATAAATAAAATGTTCACTTTAAGGGTAGAAATGTCAATTTAATATATCAGGGGAAAAAATCACCACTTTTAGAATAATTGAGGGAGCTAATGTGCTTACCTAAATAATTAAGGGGGAAAAATGACTATAAGTATATAACTCAGGGGGAAAAAGTGTCATTTCATGAGCATTTAAGAAGAAGAAGTTAGTTTCATTGCTACTGCTATACATAAATAAATAATTAATATAATGTTAATTATCTATAATTAAATATTCATCACTAAAATCGAAAACTCATGTTTTTGAAACATATATATATGGTCAAAAATAGTTTTATTCAAATTCATATTTTTAAACCTAAAATTATACTATGAAATTGTAAGCAAAATTTTTGCTAGTCATATTACACACATGTTTGTTAATCTATTATCACAAAATTAAACAAAACCCCTTTACTTATTTATTCATCGTTAAAATGAAAATGACAATTACTTATAACTTAGCGTGCATAAACAAGAAGACAATAAATTTAGGTATTAGTCTTTAATGCTTAAATTGTTTTATCTTTGTTAAATCACGGTGACTCACAGCATTTTATGATGGTCGATACATAAGCATACAAATGCAATACACATAATTTTATAAATTAAGTCTCGTATAATACCGAGTAATAAATAATAAATATATGATTGACAAATTTTATAACCTCCCGTGATACATGTTCCATAAGTAGTGATATTATTCTTCCAAAAGGTTGAACCCCAACCCTTAGGGTTCCCACACCCCGATCCGACAGACCATTTGGGAGAATGTAAATCATGGTAACTCAACTGAACATGAACCACCGAGATTAGACATTTACTCACTGGACACAAGGAACCCCCCTCACTTTGAGAGGTTGCTCCCATACTAATCCAAACCATGAAGCCTACAACTCTAGGAGTAGGAGAGCCCCAGGATGTCATCCATTAACAACTCAAGAACCCATTCGCCACTCAATTCTGTTCCCTGAATAGACGTGGTCAATATGATATTATTTTGATAGTCTCAGTGTATATAATTTTCTTTTTCTGGCCACAGGTTTTCTTAATCAATCAACTGCCAATTACATACGGAGACTAAACATGTTCATGACGAGTAGGATCTTAAAAGTGGCAAAGTACTCCGATCTCTTATGGGTTTGGACATTTAAAGTTGTCGTATTCTCAAGGCTCAAGTCCGAGATCTCTGTTTAAGTTGAAAGAGATCCATACACATGGGTATATAATTAATATAATATAATATATGATTAATATATATAATATAATGAAGAGATTTTTAATCCATCCTAAAAACCTAATACAAACAAACGTTGTCTGGGGGGTGGCACAAAATAAACAGAAAGTTAAGGTTGGTTACGGAGAAGGAAATGTGTAATACATACACATCGATCAAATAGATGCAATTAATTAAGATGAATAAAGAAGAAATTAAAGATGGAACATGCATGCATATGGTCACTACTAATCAATATATATAATTATAAAGTTATGTAAACAATGATGAAAAGTAAAGTTTAGAAGAATCACTCCAACAAACTATCAATCATCCCATAACTTCCGCCCACTGCCAACTCTCCAATGGATAATGCTTAATTGCACCAAATTTGTTTAACATATGATATATTTTTATTTGATTAATTTACTATGAGAATTAATTTATTTACAAATAGTTAACTAAATTAAATAGCGGCATGAAGTGTGTTTTCAATATTGGGATAGGAATCTAAAAGATATTTTAGAATTAAATATAATGAGATAGTGGACTAGTTAGAGGTTGTTGAGCGATCGGCTCGACCAATCGACTTGGCTAGCTTAGGAAGAGTTTGGTAGGGGTGCTCAATCAATTGTTGAGGGGTTGATAGACCATAGTTTAGTGGCAATCAATTGGATGGGGCATGAACGTAACAGTTATAAATGATCTGAGAAGCAAAATTGATCTAGACAAAGTCAACGACGTGAGTATTATACGATGTTACGAAGTGGGACAATTTGTTAATGAGGTGATTCCTATTATGTATGATTTGGTTTGAATTAGTTAGTTCAAATTGAATAGTTAAGGGGGAAAATCTTATTAAGAATAACTAGCTTAGTGAAATATTATTGCCAATTTCAAACAAACAAAAAATGTTTTAAAGAAAAAAAAACTTGTAATTGTAAGAAAGTAATCAAAATGTACAATTGATTACATTTAATGGGGCTATTTAATTCTGTTAACAATTCAAAATAGAAAATGAAAAAGAAGAAAAGTACAATTAAAAAGATTTATAAGTGTATAAGAAAGTAATACAATGTATAAGTTAACACAGCGAATTATGTTAACATATTTTCTGTTCTGGTTAAAATTTTATGACTTTTATATAATTTTATTTATTTATGTTACGATTTTTACATAATTTTTAATTTTTTAAAAAAAACTCCGAATGTATTTATACAAATTATTAGTAATCAGTAATATACAAATTCAAATTTTATTGGAGATAATTTTAGGAGAAAAAATAACATTATTTTAATAACAAATAACATTTTCTTTTTCTCCCAAAATGTTAAATCTCCAGCCCAAAGGACCCTCACACTCCGGCCCGACAAAATATTTAGGAGGATGTAAATCACTCTGACTCAATGACGCAGCATATATGGTCAAATACCAGTGTGCACAAGAAATTCACTTTAAGGCATAATCACTACAGGCAATTTATATCGTGCACCACGGCACACATAGCAATGTGCGCCCAGGCACAAAACGCGAGCGTTTCTTGCTGACGTCACTCCGTCCGTCTGAACAGACCAAATCCCATTATGTGTATTCAGTTAAAAGTTTATGTGTATTGTGTTATGAGTTTATGTGTATTCACTTAAGAGTTTATGTGTATTATGTTAACCAAACCTCATTATGTGTATTCAGTTAAAAGTTTATTATATTATGTTATGAGTTTATATGTATTCAATTAAGAGTTTATGTGTATTATGTTAACCAAACCCCATTATGTGTATTCAGTTAAAAGTTTGAGTATATTATGTATTATGTTAGATTATGTGTATTTTGTTATGAGTTTATGTGTACTCTATTATGAGTTTATGTGCATTTAAAACAAATGATTTTTTTTTAACAATTTAACAAAACGACGCTGTTTTGAGAGGCACGGGACGCACAATGCTACGCACGGGACGCACAATGCTATATGTATCATGGTGCACGATATAACGATTGATCACTACATTATCACCATCAAAATTCGAGCATTGGTCTCTCTCAAATACTGTTCTGCTGAACCATTAAACTAAGCTTAAGCTTGTGCGGACATAAATAGCATTTTCTATATATGAATACCGGCAACAAACATCATTTAACATTGTCCCACCAACTCTTTTGTACCTAGCAACCTCTATATATATATACATGATACTTACAATCAGATATTTAGAGAGAGATGGAGATAATGCAAAAGCTCCATTCTTTTAATCTCCATTTTCTCTTGCTATGTTTCTTACATTTCTCATTGCTAGCCCTCTCATGGCCTTCATATGAAGCCAATAACTATGAAGGCTCTTCTGAGCTTGTTAATCTTGAATACCATATGGGTCCGGTTCTTGCTTCTCCGATCAATCTCTATATAATCTGGTACGGTTCTTGGAATCCCGGCCACCAAGCCACCGTCAGAGACTTTCTCCGTTCACTCTCTCCCTCTTCAAACACCCATCACCCTTCTGTCGCTGATTGGTGGCGCACCGTCCGCCTTTACACTGACCAAACCGGAGGGAATGTCACCGCCGACATCGCCGTCGCCGGCGAGTATTTCGATTTCCGATACTCCCACGGCAAGTTTCTCAGCCGCTTGTCGATGCAGCACGTGATAAAGAACGCCGTCGCGACCGCCGGCGCGCCGCTGGATCACCGGAGCGGGCTGTACTTGGTGCTGACGTCACACGACGTTGAAGTCCAAGATTTTTGCCGGGCGGTTTGCGGGTTCCACTACTTCACGTTCACCTCCGTCGCCGGCGCCACCGTGCCGTACGCGTGGGTGGGGTACAGCGGCAGCCAGTGTGCCGGCATGTGCGCCTACCCTTTCGCTTGGCCGGAGTATTCCGGGCGGCCGCCCAACGGCGGGAGCGACCTCATGAGAGCGCCGAACGGGGACGCGGCGACGGACGGGATGATCAGCGTGTTGGCTCACGAGCTCGCCGAGATTTCGAGTAATCCGCTGGTGAATGCTTGGTACGCCGGAGATGACCCGTCGGCGCCGACGGAAATAGCTGACTTGTGCTTGGGTGTGTACGGAAGCGGCGCCGGGGGCGGCTATGTCGGAGAGGTGTATAAAGATTCTCAGGGGAATGGCTTTAACTTGCATGGAGTGAATGGAAGAAGGTTTCTTGTTCAATGGGTTTGGAACCCTATCAAGAAAAGATGTTTTGGCCCCAATGCCATGGACTAGAATATTAGTGATTTTCACCCGAACGGGTTTAATTCAATGATTCAGTAAGTAGTACTACGTCTAAAATGGACAGATCTTTTGTGCGAACCGACATTTAACCATGTCTACTGAGCCATTGATCCTCCCAAATGTTCTGTCGAGCTGAAGTGTGAAGGATCCTTAGGGCTGGAGAATCAACCTTTGGGGAGAAGAATATTGTAATTTATTCCTTCAGTAATGTAAATATTTTCCATTTTAATTTCAATCATATCTCTCTATATGGTGAACTCTTTCTTCAAAATAAAAATAATACTTTACATGACTTGTCAAAAAAAAACCTATTACAACCTCCATCCAAAGCATCACATTTCTCACAAAGCTACTTGGAACTCAAGATGCCATCACCATAGCAAAGACTTGCCAAAATCCAAGGGCAATTTCGACTGTACAGCATAATGCATTAATCAACCAGCTCGTAATGTTTCCGTTTACTAGGAATTCAGCGGAGCAAGTATAGAAGCATTCAACGAAGCCATGAACGATCGCTTACTGTGTATACTACAATTCTTCGGAGCAGTGAAGACAGTGATGATTTATAATCCGGGCTACAAGGCTGTTAGGCTCTGGAACAGTGGCTGAGGTTATGCTATTCCATAAGTGAAATGTGAGAGACTCATCAAGGATCTTTTTAAAGAGAGCATCTTGTTCAGATCTTTCACTTTCTGTAACTGGTGCAGTTAAGTATCTGGCAGAAAACGAAGATAGTGGGTAGGAGTAGACAACATTAGTTATGTTTCTTTTTACGCGTGCATAAAAACAGCAGTCACCAAAGCAGATTACTAATGAATTGATATCACAAGACCTCACTGGCATTCACAATGTGCTCATAGCCAACTAAAACATCATTTTTCAGTACAATCACAACAGTTTCAGAAAACTTTATGAAGCTTAAAAGAGTTGTGCAAGTTGAGGGTCATGCATAATAGGGTTTAATCTTAATCATGTATGAAAGAATTAAGAATTACTTAGTACTATTTAATGTCTTCCATTATGTTTCGTTGCATTTGTATAATTTGGATTGCCATAAAAATGCATGAAGGGAATCTGGAAGCAATGTTGCAAAAATCCCGCCTAGGCACTGATTAATCGGCGCCTATGCGCTAGGGCTAGCCAGCCGCCTAGCATATCACCATAATTGGTGGTCTAGGCGGCTGGCCGGCTAGGCAGCCGACTAGGCCGCCTAAGCGTCACCTAGGCACCGACTAGGTCACCTAGTCAGTCGGTTAGCTATTGTTCCTTTCTTTTTTAAATGGGCGTCGTTTTGAGTAAAATAACTCTAAATTGTTCAAACTCTAGATGTTTTTTAGGTTAATATTTAATATTTTAGTATTCACTATTAAAGTATTAAATACTCCGTAGTTTATAATTATTAAGTCTTAAAAATTAAAAAAAAAAAAAAAAAATTAAACAAATTTTTAAAAATTAAAAATAAAATAAAAAGTATATGGGCGCCTAGGCGCCCGAGGACCACCTAGCGATTTTTTTAACCATGTCTGGAAGTAATATCAATTTATAGTGACAGCAATACTATTAAAGCAGCTATGAAGAGTGAGGGGAAGAGAAGAAGAAGATTGAAGTCATACCTTAGAATATTGCCATGACTTATTGGGAAGAAAAGAGAGGATGGTTGCAATCTAAGCTCCATATTTTTGTTGGAGACATTATCATTACTTGAAAAGTTACCAGCAACTCTAATCAAAAGCTCGGCTCCATTCCACCTCAATTGTGAGTCATCATATGATGAATAGAACTCATTCAAACACTCCATTATAAAGGGACTGAAAAGATGTACAACAAAATAAATGAAAACCTGGATAAGAAGTACGGAGTAATATAAAAGGTACTGCATTTAAAATTTGCTCCTAATTTTTAATAAATCAGGTAATGGCAGTAAGCTCCAGAAAACGAGAAACTCCAAGTCTCCAACTTCTCATTACAAAGAAAGAAGAGTATCTTAATGCTAACCGATAAAATTTGTAACCATGGCAAAAAAATAACTGAGTAGTTTTCTCAAACAAGTACCTATGCTTTCTGAATGCCATCACAGCGCCACTCAAAGTGTTTCCATCCATCCCTTCATCCATGCCAACAGTATTATTAAGTGAAGAAAGTTGGTTCAACACTATGATGTCAGAGTCAAGATAGACTCCACCATACCTGTAGTGGTAAAGGAGCAAAAGAAATGCAAGACTGTTAAAGCCATGAAATGGATCTATTTTCAAAATTTTCAACTGATTATTATTCAGTTGACATAATCTGGAACAAAAATGAACAACAATGACATTTGCAGAAATAATCATTGTATGGGTTACTTTAACAATAAATTGATATTACATATTTACATGTAAAATAAGCAAAAGAAACAACAAATTAACAACTCCACCAGAAAAAAATAAAAATAAATAAATAAAAAGTGTGGTTCCTTCCTCTCTTTTTTTCCCTTGTTTAGCATGATCTTTCACCACTTCAAAAGTATTATTGAAAATGTTCAATGAAACATCTATCAAGTATTTTTCACAGTTTGCAGTTAGCTACACTTCTTATAACTTAGCCTTTTACCAATGAGAAACTGGATCCTTCAAGTTTTAATTTCTACATATCCAGAGCACAATTAATTCTAAAGCATTGCAGGATTTGTATGTTTTGAATTTTTATAAATAAGCCAGTGGAGACTTTGGATTTATGACTCACTTCTAGCACAAGAATCCAATAGTTAACCATCACAAAAATAATTAAACTGGACCACAATGGAACAAATGCACATATGGAACTGCAAAAGTTTAGCAATACTTTTGACAAGCCACAAGATGCAATTCTGGAAAAGCTTTCATGGTTGTACTTTTAATCCCTCCAATAAGTGATAATATTGTTTTACATCAACGGTGACCTTAGTTTTCTCCTTGATTCAGAACATAATCACTCTTTGGTTCTAACTTAAAATTATTATACCCATATGTATTTTGATAAGCTCCCAACACATTGCTAACAATTTACTTGGAAAAAACTTTCCTGCCTGACCCTACTGGATACATACTTTTCCTTTTCAAATTTGAGTCTTCATGGCTCTTTGATACTTAATCCTCATTTAAAACAAATGTGAGAGCATCAAAACAGAAACTAACTGTTTAGATGACTAAAATAAATGCCATGTAACTGCATATTAAGCCAAAATTGATACTGTAGAAGATAAAGATTCTTTACTTGTAGAGAGCAGCAAGCCTGATGAGCTCACTATAATGAGTAGGATAATATTTTGTCTTCTTCCACTCATGCCAGACTGAGGCAAACATATGTGTTGGTGTATCTTTCAGTAACTCATCAAGATTGGGCATAACGACAGCTACTTTAAACCTGTGAAGCAATCAATGAAAGCTGTTATCCAAAAAATTATGCCAATAGCACAACAAATACTGTAAAGCATGAAAAATTAAGTGTGTAATAAACTGAAAAACAAAATTTTGATATCTTCCCAGAAAGCAACAGATACTTTAATTAAAAATAAAATAAAATAAAACAACCAAATTGATAATGGAAGTCAGTTTCTATACCCAGGTGGATGGCGCAAATCAGTTTATATACATTGATGTTAGTAAATGGAAGTAGCACGACATACCCATCTTTCACAAAACCACTGAAGAAATTGAGCTCAATTGTCTCTGAGAACACCACCACACAAGCATCTGGATGATGGTAAAGAAGGCTCTCCAGTCCCCTCTGATGACGAACACTAAACATCCATGGCGGTGAATTCCACACCATAAAAACCCTCATATTGCATTTTCCTTTCCTGAAAAACAAATCCATAAAATTCATAAAGGACAGGTTTGGTTGTAAACCTGGAAAATAACCCCATCTCTTCCCATCAGCATATACTGGTTTATTCACCTCTCTTCTCAGCACACTATTTTTCTCCATAATTTTCACATCACTTCCCCCATTCACCTCTGTCTCCTCTGTGTTCTTATTTGCTAAAACCCCAACATTATCACCCCCAACTCTTTCAATATGTAATTGATTATTAGCATTGTCTTTTAAACTTCTCCTCTCAGCTCTAATGATTTCACTTCTCCCTTGGTTGACTTCATTATCCCTTCCCTTAATAGCAACATCACCTTTCATTTTCACTGATTCTGAGTCAGATTGAAAGGTTTTCATCCTCACATCATTCTTTTCTATAGTTTCCATGTTATGAGTACCCAGAACATTATTTTCTGCTGATGTGGATTTCTCTGAATCTGTGATCGATAGTGGCTTTTTCACCAAGAATGGAACTTTTTTAAATTCATTCATCAATCCTTTGAGCACAACCCTATCCCCTCGACTCAATCCAGTCAGACCAACCCCATCAGGATCCTGCAACATTGGATTATTATTCGGGTTCAAACTTTCCAAATTCGATCGAAACATGCGATCTTTCCTCAAGAAATCACTCTTCTTATCGAACCAGTCTCCCCAACCCTCCCTCAGTGGTGAGCCCTTCAACAACAATGCATCTTCAATGCTCCTTACTTCACTCAATTTCTTCCTCATCTTCTCATCTACTGGCAAATCGTCCGATCCAATCGCCTCCTTAGACTCATCAGTCACATACCCAAACCCTAACTTTAAGCTCGATTCAAAGTTCACGTAATCTTCCCATTCCTCAATCGACCGCTTGTTAAAGGCCCTCCTAACGACGCCGATTTTATGGTCGTAAAAGTATGTCTTCGACGAGGCTCTCGAGTTCTGATTATTCTCTTCCCCGTCTTCCTCTTCGGGCTCGGAATTTTCGTCGTCGTTGGAGTTGAGCTGGATGGCGTCATCAAACTCGTCGATGCGGTCATCAGAGGAGGAGGAGTGGAAATCGGGGTCAGCGAGGTCGTCGATAAGGGGGTTGTTGAGCGAAACGGCGTCGTACTGACTGGTGTAGGAATGCGGCTGGTGGGAGTGGAAGAAGTTGAGTCGGGTGTAGAGGAGGGAGACGGAGAGGAGGAGGAGAATGGCAGCAGCAAAGGCACAGAGTTGAGCTCCGTATCGCGGACGCCGCCGCGAGCGCAGGTTGCGGAACATGTGACGACGGCGGCGGCGGCGGCGGGGTGCCCAGGAGAATGGACTGCCGGAACTTTGAAAATGGAATTTTGCTCAGATCAGATCGTATCGATGGAGGGAAACCCGGCTTGCGCTTTATCCTTTTTTTTTTTAACTAGTAAATTATTAGTAATGCACAGATAAATTTTTTTTTTATTATATATATTGATAATAAAATTAAAAATTAAATTATAAATAATTTTAATATTTAGAAGTATATTGATTATATATATATAAGATTAGTGTAAAATTTCATTCAATTAATTAATTAAATAATATATAACTTAATTGTCTGTAATTATATTGAAAAAATTAATATTGTAATATTATTTAGGAAATTATATTATTACTAATATTAATATATATATATATATATATATATATATATATATATGAGATTACCTTCTCATATGAGATTATGAGAATTAATTAGTCATTGCCCGTGGTTGTTTCTTCTTTAAGTTTTTAATATTATTAAATATTATTTCAACTACTCTTGGTCAGATTAGTATAATTACAAGTTACAAATTTTATTTCGACTACTTTGATCATATTATTATAATTACAAGTTACAAATCTTATTTTGACTCTAATCTTATTTTGACTCTTCTACTTATTTAGTCATATTATTACAATTACAAATTACAAATCTTATTTCAACTCCTCTAGTCATATTATTACAATTACATATTACCAATCTTATGTTAACTCCTCTCGTCATATTATTACAATTACAAGTTACAAATTTTATTTCAACTCATATAACGTCTTCTTGTCATATTATTACAATTACATGTTACCAATCTTATTTCAACTCAACGTCTTCTTGTCATATTATTACAATTACATGTTACCATTTCAACTCCTGATCATCATTCTTCGAAAAGGTTGAACCCCAACCCTAAGGGCCCCCCACACCCCGGCCCAACAAAGCATTTGGGAGGATGTAAATCAGGTGACTCAACTGAGCATGAACCACAGAAGCTAGACCGGTGCTCACTGCGCACAAGGAACCCTCCTCACTTTGAGAGGTTGCTCCCACACGGCAACTAGTGAGACTCGATCCCTGGTCATTCTTCCAAAGTCACATCTATGACCAGTTGAGCTGAACTCCTGATCATCATATTATTACAGTTACAGGTTACAAATTTTATTTCAACTCCTTTATTAACACATTATGATTTTTTATTTTTTGAATGTTTTAAAGAAATTAACACATTTATGTAAAGAACAAAGAAGAAAATTCACTTTGTAGCTACATCCATGTTCCAGTTAACCAAATTTAAATATTCATGCAAAGGATGCAATCGAGAATGAGACACCTCATTGTGCCTATGAAGCATAAATGCAAAATAGAAATTGATTACTATAAACAGAAAATTGAGTAACATCACAAATTGTTGACCAGAATGTTCGACGACTGATCATTCTTGCAGCAAGTATACTACGCAAGATGATATTTCATCACAAAAATAAAAGATATTCCAATTTACATCGTTTCAAAGAGTCAAAGGGAACTGTAGTAGTATATAATGCTGATTGTGATAAGGGGGTAGCAGCAAAAAGAAGCAAAAAAATTAGGACTGACGGATGACAAAATAGTTTCCTCCGGCATGGCATTTCAATCTGCAGACCACCCTTATAGCCACAAAACCCATTTAACTTTCACTTTGACTACAACTATCATATTTTTAGTTTTAACTTCACGGTTGTGTTACCTTCTCGCTTTTTAACTTGCGACTTCTACGATGGTTCCTTACCTCATTTTCGGCACCTAGAAGCTTATCAGCACATGTAGCATTACCAACATTCCCAGCTCCAGTAGGATGGTTCCTTACCTCATTTTCGGCACTTAGAAGCTTATCAGCACATGTAGCATTACCAACATTCCCAGCTCCAGTAGGATGGTTCCTTACCTCATTTTGGCACCTAGAAGCTTATCAGCACATGTAGCATTACCAACATTGGCAACTTCAGTAGGATGGTTCCTTACCTCATTTTCGGCAAATGTAGCATTACCAACATTGGCAGCTTCAGATGTAGCACTGTCTCGAGTTCCAGAATCCAAGACACCTGTGATACATGATGGTGCTTCCTCAGGAGAAATTTCTGAATCAGCTTCCAGGGGTACACTTTGAGGTAGTTTCCCTATATCTTTAACATCAACATCTTTAATCAACAAGGCACACATTTCCCGCCTTTTGTTTCCACAAACAAGGCTCTGTTTCAAGTTAGGATCAGTGTGCTCTTGAACAGTTGAAGATATCACATTGGTTGATCCATTATCTTGAGATGATATATTACCATCCAGACCCCTACTTGATGAGTCTTGAGGATCTGAACTGTTCTTGAGCACAGAGGTAAACCTTTGTTTTTTGTTATCACCGTGCTCGTGGCAACTTGAGGGCCCAATGTCTTGATTGGCATTATGTTGACATGCTTTAACGAATTTTGCATTATCATTAAAGGCCTCATGTAAGGCATGTACATTTGAACTCTCGTGATCAACATCACTCTTCCCAAAAACTGGTCTCACCAGCTTTCTACGCTTCCCAAGCTTACATGCAGGTTCCTTAACTACTATTTCAGTTTCAGAAGGCATCTTCTCCTCAGATATCAATTCTTTTGTGGGGTTTCCGTGCTCTGGGGGTGTACCTAGTAATTCCTTAACCACAGAGCTTTCAGAAGACATCATCTCTACAGAAATCAAATGATATTTTGTGTCACAATCAGGCAAACTTTTCTTTATCTCACTCCGACGCTTAAAATCCACAGCTCGTGTCTCTTTTTGTGCATGCTGAACATTTTGTTCAATAGATTGTTGCAAATTCCTCTTCTTCTTCGGTGAAGAAATCATTGAAGAATTGTGATCCATCTCAACAACTGAAGCATGCTTTCCGTGGACAGTAATTTCACCATTGTCATGACTTTTTACCAATGGTTTGCATTTAATTTGCTTCTTGGAAAGAGAAACCTGGTTTTGATGCACGCCCGTGACTTCATCTTTTAGTGTGCACTTCTTTGAAGATAACCGACTAAAGACACTTCTTCGCTTGAACTCTTTATAATCAGAATGTGACAGCTCAGACAACCTGTTGCACATAGTTTCATCATTCACACCAAATGTTTCATAAATATCAAAGTTATTGTTGTGGTCAGTTATTGGAACTCCACCATGATGATAAAGTATTTCATCACTTTCTCGCATTGCAACACGCTCTTTGATACCCAGTGATTGACAACCTGAATCAATTGCTAGAGGGGAAAATCTAGTATATTCCCCATGAAGACTAGCTTCACCTGGCCCTGTAGCAACTGGAAAAGCCATATATGGCCTTGAAGATGGTGGAGCTCTATAAACCATGGAAGAAGTAGTATTAAGTCCTACATTCTCAGAAAACTCAGCATTTAAATCAGATTCACCAATCCCAGATTGTAAATATGACCCTTTTTTTTGCCTGTGATCAGCAGCAAAATCTGGAAGCCCGGTTGAAGATCCTAATTTTTCGTGGTATGGCATTGATATATCTTTGAGAAATACATCAAGATTTTGTTCCCCAACACTGTGACAGTCATTCTGTACTAAACTAGATTCATGATCAACTTGAGAAGATGACGAGCATCCACAATGAGAGGTAGCAAACTCGTTATCACATGGCAGAGCTCTTGTGATTGTTGCATCTTGAAAATTTGAGAAAGTGTTGTCAAATTTTGCTGCATCTGTTATTCGAGGGAGAGCAGTCTCATAAAATGACATACTGCAGCTTGCTGGAGACATTTGCTTCATCTCAGTATGTCGATTGCCCCCTATCAAGTGAGTAGGTCTATGAAAATTCTCCAAAAGAGATGCAGCATTTTCAGGATTGTTCTTCCTGTACCAGTCAGCATTAACCCATTGTTTGTCTACATTTAGACGAAAAGAGGATTGTTCATTTGAAGCAGAAGGTCCAAGATCATACTCAATAGTATTTTCATCCACTCTTCTATCCCTAGCAAGAGAATGAAAATACTCATTTCTGCTACAATGAAAGCCTGGACCCCCAAAAGTACTATGTTCGCTTTTATTCCAACCCACTGGTGATCTGGCATCACCATATAATTTGTCTGTGTCATGGGATGGATGTACAAAGTGAGTAGAAGGAATGGTGGAAACATCAACACAGTCCTTAAGATGCTTATTTTCAGTGTTATCATGAATTAATCTATGCTGAAAATTAGCATTTCTCAAAAAGTTTTCACTGTTAAAGTTACCAGAGACAGCGGGTGTATAATCTGGGTTATGGAGCTCTTCTGCACCATCATTCAGCAGAGACCTAGCATAATGTGTTGCAAGTGCAGATGGGCAATCATTTGAAAGTTTCCCATAACTTTCAGTCAATCTGATCATCCCAGAACCACATTCTCCGTTGGATTGATTTACTATCCTCTCCCTATTTGTAAACAAGCAACCACCATTTTTTCTAATGAAATGAACAGGATCAGCCATATCATTAGAAGACATAACAGAAGGACGATTTTTACAGTCATTTTTAACTGTATCATCCATTGAGAATTGGTTGCCTTCAGCTAATCTCATTCCCATAGTCAAAGGATGATCATTATTAAGGCTATTACCTGCAATATCATTCATCAATATCCTCTCATCATCATCCATTCTTCTCCTACCTGGTGAATCACTGTAGTTATTGTTCAAGTATCCCCCATCTGAAAAACTAACTCTATATTCATCCTCAATCCTATTCCGTTCAGAACAAGCATCAACATTTAGTTCATTCTCTCTATCCCAATAAATATTTGGATATGCTATTACTGCAGAAGGCTCAATGCAATTTTCATTAGGAAAACCATTACTTGCTGTAGGGATCTCATCATCAACCATATAACTATTTTCACCAACTCTTCTGTTGATATCTCTAGAAAACTGTCTAGGGGGTAACTTATTTCTTAACTTCCTTGTCCTGAACAACATCAGAAGACTGCGGACCTGCAGAAGCAGTAAGAGAGTTATAGAACAAAAGGGAAATAAATCACTAGCATTATAGTCCTTAAAAGGTCAATGTAAGAATTATCAAACCTGATCTTGAGATAGACCAAAGTTAAACTTCTTTGCGGAAAAGTAATTCTCTCTAATTGCACCACGAAATTCAGGTTCAGAAAGTGGACTGCAGTCCCAAATTGGGGTAAAACGAACCTGGATAACAGAACACAGGCATAAAGAAACTACAAATATCCTACCATTATTCTAGAAGGAAAAAACAAGGCTAAATTTCCAGATTCCATTAGGTGTTAGAATAAAATAAAATGATAAAAGAAACACTTTAAACAAGCTATACCTGTGCAGGATAACAGTCCCCTGATGAACTAAATGCATGGGGCGCAATGTTTACTGCACCATCGGAGCTAGCACGATAGACTCCAAAAAGTTCTCTCCTCTCAAATTCAAATAGGAACAAGACCATTCCACATTTAACCTGCTTCACAAAGTTAGCCTTGGACAATGGAAGGCCCATGATTTTCTTTTTAAAGCATTCTCTTTTTGTTGCAATGTTAGACATAAAAATTGCACCAAACTCTGGTACTTCTCCATGAAAACCATTCTCTTCCTCTTCAAACTCCATTCAAAATATGCTAGATCTGCCAAGTTAATCAAATACAGGCAATAAAAAACAACTTTCTATGCACACAAAAGGCAACATCAATTATCCCTTGTCCATAATAGTTCTTTCAGCAAAATTTAAAAAATTGAGGTGACTACAAGAGTATTTCTATACCAGTCCATACTCTCCAAATAAAAAAGAAAAAAAAAAAAACAAAACAAAACAAAAACAGAAATTATAGAGAACATTATAATGGAACAAAACTAATCCGTTATCATTCTTGACATATAAACGAGATAATGAAAGAAATCCAAGTTGAGTTGTATAAATTAGAACATAAACAACACATTAGAACCCCCTTATCCATCAAAACAATAGTACGCTGCATAACTTAAAATTGCAAAGTTGCATTCAGAAATCAAATAGACTAACACGCAGTACAAGGAACCATTATGTATAAGTTGTAATCAACTAATCAATAAGAACTGAAAAAGGGGGATTATTGTTTAGCTTTATTTTGCATACATTGCTTCAATACTCTCAATTAAATATGTAAAGAGCAATAACGTGCATAAACATAGACAGATACCAGTCAAAAGCAAGTCAGAAGAATTATATGAATAATGGAACAGAGAATCCGGACAATTCACAACAGTAACTAAAAATTCCATTTTACAGAAACTATACAGAAAGATGAAAACGAAGAAAAAAAATCAGCCAAACGAAAAAACAAGCATTCTTAAATAAACAAAAGATCACTGAAAACAATCATTCTTAATCAAAAAATAGGCACAACGCTAATAAAATCTGCACCTCTAAATCGCAACTGTGCCAATGCGCTTTCCGAAACCGATCGCTGCAAAACAGGACTAAGAACAGATCGCTTAGCACTGAAAGTATGATTAGTTCGATTCTATATAAATAATAAATCCTTAGATACCAAAAGCATACATCAAAAAAATAAAAGTGTTAAAATAAAAATTTCCAGAATCCGATTTCGTTCTTCATCAGCACACATAAACCAAAGGATTTCAAGAGAGAATTTGTAAGAAAGAAGGCAGTTGTATACAGATTTTTTTTTAGAGAGAGAAACGGATAATTACCGCCTGATGAGTAAGTAAGACGGCGATTGAGAGAACGCAGTAGAAGAAAGAGTTTATATCAAATATCGGATTGTAAAAAACCTAAGGAAACTAGGATTGTTCAATCAGTGAAAATATCTTTGCCATTTTAATTTTAATTTTGTTAAATATTTTAATATATTTTAATATTTTACTTTCTTTAGGAGTTTCTCCGTAATATTTTTATCTTATTCGTAACATTCGTTTTTGTTGCGGTGCCGGAAAGCGGTTTGGGTTGTTTTGGAAGATACGCGTGGCAGGGGCGATTGGATGAATCATCGAATAAAAAAAAACGTGACTATAGAAAAAGACAGTAAAAGGCATTGGGAAATTCCATATATATGTATATGAGTTTTAAAAAATATTTTTTACTATATTCTTTTCTGTTTTTTATTATATCACGGAATTGGAAAAAAAAAAAAAAAAAAAAAAAAGATAACATGTAGCACATATATTATATCCTATGTTGTTTTTGGTTAAAAAAAAATGTGGTTATTGAAAAAGACAATTGAAGGCATTGAAATTTATTATTATTATTATTATTATTATTATTATTATTATTATTATTATTATTATTATTATTATTATTATTATTATTATTATTATTATTATTATTATTATTATTACACACACAAAAATATAATCATGTGTGAGTAAAATAATTTTTTTTTGGTATTGTAATAAAAATTTATTCTTGAGAACTCGAAAATGTTATTAATACCAAAAAAGAGTTTGTGGGGAATGTTATTCCCTTGCAAATAAAATAACTCATTTTCAATAATAATCTACATCTACATCTACATCTACAATCTACATCTACAATCTATAGAATACAGTATACAATTCTAATAAGAGCCAATAATGTTAGGTCCTTAACTGGAACAAAAAAAATGTCGATCCTATTGTTTCTTAAAATGAATGGTTCATATTATACTATTGTTTCTTAAAATGAATGGTTCATATTATTTTTATTTTAGTATTTTTTATTGATTTTCCTTATTTACCCTCTATTATATTATTTTCTTCCCTTAAATAACTTAAATTCCGTTAGCATAAACTTTAGTAACGGAATATTTCGTTAAGTATTTATTATTTTAACGTACACATTAATTTCTATAAGAAAAGTCTTAGTTTCGAACCACATCCTAATTAGAGTTGGCATAATTGTTAAACATATACTACGAATATGTTAAAATATATTTAAAATATATATAATATAAAATTTAACATAAACTTTGTTGAAATAATTAGTCTAACTAAATACATAACATTCAAAGTTAAGCATCAAAGATTATAAATCAAGAACTTTAAAAATCATTTGATCAGAAAAAAAACTTAATATTCTTTTGATTATTTAGATCAGAAAAAAAAAAACTTAATATTTTAATTATACTTTTGCATTAATATTTTTTGTATGTATTTTTTTTTTAAATCAATGATTGCATTATTGTTGATGAAAAGTATATACGCCACTTTATTACTCTTATTAAACTATTAGTTATCACACGCGCTTTGCGCGATTAGACCAATGCCCAATGTATACTTTTAAGTTAATGTTTCTTAATTGATTAAAGTATTCATATAATAATGAGAGAGAGAAATGCTAAATTAATAAAAGATAAAGAAATAGTACGGTGCTTATATTTTAATAAAAGATAAAGAAATTGTAAATAGCTAAATTATAACTAACATAGGTAAAAACAAATAAACCAATAATTAAAGCTGACTATCTATTATGATCAACCACCAGAAGAAAACAATTGGATAAAAAGTACTAATTTGAGTAGAGTAAATTAATTTTTCTTAGTGCGCGTTTGTTGAGGCTCGGAATTGTCTTCATCTTTTACATCTTTAATGAAGTTGAGTTTCTTTTTTTCTGGTTGTGTCTTTATTGTATCTTATTTATTGGTGGTAGTGAATGAGAATGATTCATCCAATGATGTTATGGTATATGATACCATGTTTTTGCTTTGTTGGGTATATGATTGATTCTTCATCTTGTAACTGGTTATTGATATGTTTAATTCTTAGCTATTGACCCCGCAAAATGCATATGTAGTTAGTCATAGGTTAATTTAATGTAAAACATGAGTATTTGTGGTTGGCAGAGGAGCAGTACATATTGTTCCAATTACATAACTTGTTTGCTGGTTAAGAGTAATAGTTGTTCCACATTTCCCAAACACGAATGCAACAAGGCATCCATTTCCATCAATAATTTCCACGTCCAGTTTACACCTATTATATTTTTTTAGTTGTTACTATGCATGCAGTGAATATTTGTATTCTAAATCTAAATTCCTATTAAGACTCACTATTCTAAATATAATTTAGAATTGCATAAAGATGTGTATTCTAAAACCCTATTAAGATTTGAATATTCTAATTAGAAGTTATTGAATTCTATAACGATTTGTATTGTATTCTATTTTTGAAGTCGTATTCTATAATCCGATTAAGATTTCAATATTCTAATTATAAGTTAGAATTCTATAAAGATTTGTATGCTAAAATCCAATTAAGACTTCAATATTCTAATTATAAGTTAAGAATTCTATAATGATTTGTATGCTAAAAATCCTATTAAGACTTCAATATTCTAATTTTAAGTTAAAATTTTATAAACATTTGTATTCTGAAAACCTATTAAGACTTCAATATTCTAATTATAAGTTAGAATTCTATAAAGACTTGTATTATATTCTAAAAACTTATTAAAACTTCAATATTTTCTAATGCAATTATAATTATAATAGAAAATGCAAACTGAAGGTCAATTTACAAATAGAGTTACTATTTTTTTTTTTTTTTTATAAAAAATAGAGTTACTACCTCTTTATATAGTAGGAGCTGAAATATGTTTAAAATTCAAATTTCTTGGAGCTTACATTCACAAAGCTAAAGTGTAAAGAGTTGTAAAAGATTGGCAAGGGGGAACAAACCCTGACTTAGAAATGGTATAAATTACAACAGTTGCAGCAACACTATAGCCGACTTGATGTCTTGGCTACTGCGTACCGCTCTTCTTAGTTGAACTTGTTTCAAGCTTCCTAAAAAAATCAAGAATAAAATTAGAAGGGATATAATAAGGGAGCCTTTTGTCAACAGAACATAGCATCATATAATGTGGTGTAGAAAACTGAAGACTCAAACATCTAAACACACCTTTAGAAGATCAATGACCTTTTTGCATAAATACTTTTGCTGAATGGTTGCACCCCGTTGCTGTAATTTATCAGGGTCGACACACAGAGCGACTTTCCTGTAAACTTTCTTTACAGCTTAACCTGTCAACAACTTAATCTAGGCTTCCTAGAAATCAAGCACAAGAAATCGGTCAACGACTTAATCCATTCTTCCTAGGAAGCAAGCACAAGGAATTATAGACGAAGCCCAAGTCACCTTTCTACAACAACATCAAATATAGACAACTATATAGCTAGCTAACTTGAGTGCAAGATCCACTTGCAAAGACAACAGAAATACTACTGTTCTTACATCCACTCTGTTGCCTCCTTGTTTCTGTTGTGCACCCCCCCTCTAGGAAAGCAATATAATTAACAATATTAATAAAGATGCATCCACAGAAGATAAGGTTCAAGGCACAACATTACTTGTGGAATGAACTGGAAAAGATTATAGCCATGTGGTTTCTAAAAGCAGCTTTCACAAGATAAGATTTCAACATCTTCATCTGAGAGTTAAGTGCAAGAAAATATGAAGTGATAATGTCACAAAATTGTATAAGGGAAACAATGAAAGAATATTGCTCACTAAATGTATCAGTCACCAAACAACCACCAAAACATCATATTCATTATACTAATTACATTTTTTGCAAAGACAACATCTAATAGTATCCAAAGTGCATTAAGTTACATTGTCTGTTTGTTCTTCACTATCAAAAACTCATCCCCTCTGGCCTTTTCATTAAATAACATAGGATGAGGATAGATTAGGAATTTAATTGGATAATTGGACATTGTACAACAAGAAGAGCACAAAAGTACAATCTTTTATAACATACTATTGTACTACTTTCTCAACCTACTGAAACACAAAAAACCAATAATGCCTCAATTGAGGCTCAAAGTCATAATTTTCCAAATGAAAGACCAACCCGGGTACCATTAGACCACATAATTCTGGTATTTAAAAATAGATATAATTTCATTAGTTATATTATCTTTATTTTCTACAATTCAAATATTCATTACCTTCAAATTTATCAATTTATTATATTCACTGCATTGTCCATTGTCTTCTTTTTACATTATCTTGTAATTAAATATCAAAGTTATAATACAAAATACATTATATATATTTATTTACCAAGTATTTTATACAAATATAATAAATATTAATATTTTGTTCAATACTTTCACATGATAACCTACGACACATATCTCACAATGCATGAAACATGTAGGGAAAAACTACCACTACCAAATATCGATTAGAAAATTCAATAAATATTATCTTGCATTTATATATTTTGAATTACCGATTTAAATAAAGAAATTCAATATTTATTTACATATGCATGAACATCTCCGATATGCATGTCCATCTTGCAAGGTGGACACGGTTCCATAGCATAATTTGCCCACTTTATTGCTCTTAAACTAAATAAAGTAGTAGCTACAACAAAAAATAATACATATGCATTTAATTAATTTAGAATTAGATGTCTATAATGCATTTATTTAAAAAAAATTATTCATTATAAAAAATGTAAAAATAGATATAATTTCATTAGTTATATTATATTTATTTTATACAATTCAAAGATTCATTACCTTCAAATTTATTAATTTATTATATTCACTGCATTGTCCATTGTCTTCTTTTTACATTATCTTGTAATTAAATATCAAAGTTATAATACAAAATACATTATATATATTTATTTACCAAGTATTTTATACAAATATAATAAATATTAATATTTTGTTAAATACTTTCACATGATAACCTACGACACACATCTCACAATGTATGAAACATGTAGGGGAAAACTACCACCACCAAATATCAATTAGAAAATTCAATAAATATTATCTTGCATTTATATATTTTGAATTACCGATTTAAATAAACAAATTCAATATTTATTTACATATGCATGAACATCTCCGATATAATATTGCGTTGATATACTTTGAAATACTTATTTAAAAATAATCATTGGGCATTATCCCATTCGCGCAAAGCGCGTAAAAAAACTAGTGTTATTTATACAAATAAAAGATCAAAACAAACAATATAATAGGTACTAAAGGTAAAGTTCTTGTGTATACAAAATATCTCATTTCAAAAGTTTCAAAAATTTTGTAAAACATTTTAGGATCAGTTCTATAGTTAAAAAAAAAAAAAAATTAATAATAATAATAATAATACAAATCAGAAGTGAACCCCCCCCCCCCCCCCCCCATTTAAAATTAAGTCTAGAAATAGTCATTTTTCATGGCAAAAATAACTATTTTTTTCCAACATATAGAACATGGATAAAAAAAAGTTTGGAACATTTATGTGACCCACATATATTGAGAGCAAAATATCATGAAATTAAAGACTTGTGAACCTTGCAATTTAAGGGACTCGAGTTTGGAATAAAATTGATGATCCTTCCCTTAAGGTTAAGAGAACCATCCGTAAGGATACTTTGGGTGTCATGAGAATTAGAACATACGATAGTTCTTATGAATAGTTTTTTTTTTTTTTTTTTTTTTTTTTTTTTTTTTTTTTCATTATTCATTGACCTTGTTGAATTGGCAAACAGCGGTTAGCAAATAGCAAATTGTGTTAGCGAGTTTGACTAGTAAATTATGTTAACGGTTTATAAAAAGATGTTTGATAAAATGAGCTATTTAGATTAGCGGTTAACATGTAAAATGACCTAAAGGGTATACATATATATAATATTTAATATATATATATATATATATATATATATATATATATATATATATATATATATATATATATATATATATATATATAAAGGGCAGCCGTTATGCGACTCCCCTTTTGTAATTTTGTTTCCGATGTGGGATAAGTGGGGGATACAGCCTTGAGATCAGTTTTTTCTAACTACTATGCTCATCCGCTGCTTGCCTAGGGGATGGGCAACCTCTACAAGTTTTTTTTTTTTTAAACTATGTTAAGGGTGTTTTGGGAAAAACTCTTTTTTCCCCAAAACGACATTTGCAAACGCTGCTATATGCAGCGTTTGCAAACTTGGCGGTTTGGAGCAATCCGCTGCTCCAAACCACCATTTAAACAAACAACTTTTTCGCCGTTTTGACTTTGGTTACACATCTTCTTGATCCAAAATAAATAAATAAAAAGTAATAATGTAAAATTGTACACTTCAAAAAAAAATCTTATTTTTATTCAAAATATATCAAATATTATTTATGTTTAATATTTGAAATCAAACTTTGCCATTAAAATCAAATTCTATAAGTTAAAATGAAATAATCTGTCCAATATTAATTTCACTTATAAAAAGATATTCCACATATCACCAATTTACCACCCATGAAAAGTTGGCGCACCCTATGGTCTAGTATAATTTGTTATATTTTGGATTTTCTATGAAAAGTTGGCATACCCTAATACCCTTTGGTCTTTTTCCTTTTTCCTTTTTTCTTTTGAGAGGACCCTTTGGTCTTTTATGATGTGTTATTTTGGATTTTAGTTGTACCAAACTCAGTTCATATGGTTAACTCAGGTTAAGTATCTAACACCCTTTGGTCTTTTATAACATTTTCTTCTATAAATGGTCACAAGGATGACCCAACCAGTTTAGAATGTAAATGAGCCAAACTACTCATAAATTATTCAAACTTAATTCGACAGATGTTAAAAACTAATTCAGTTAATATCCACTCAGACTTGAGGTTCGCAAGCTTAATTTTATTTATATTTTACACCTAATATAAATTATAATATTACAAATTTAAAAAATAAAATATTAACATATTTATGTTTATATGCAATATAAAATAACTATATTCAAATTTCAAAATATAATACGGAGTAGTAAGTATATTTTTTATTAAACTTAGGTGATCACAGCTTTGCCAAACTAACCCAAGTCGCACAATCAACCCACTAATCAGATCATATGCACACATCTTTAGACCTTTTCCCCATACATCTAGTGAACTTCAAACCCCGCCGCCTTCCGCTCGAGCCAAGCTCAAATAATTAGTATTTGATCGAACTCGAGCTTCAAACTTTGACTATTCAAGTCTCATTTACACCCATACCACAATCTAGACCATGAATTAAACCAGTATAAAACACAAATGTGATTCACCATTGAGATACATTTTGTCTTGAACTTGAAGAACCTACCTTGCTATTGGCCAAAAACTACAATTATGCTCAAAAGTTCAAGAGGATAGAAACTCTAAAATCCATCAATGTGAAATGTCTATCGTCTTCTCTTATTACTGGGACCATGAAATCCACACTTCAATGGCGCTATATTGCAGCGTATTGAAATGCCAATTTCCCTTACTCCATTGCACCTAAAACAATATGTTTGAGGCAATAAGTGAATCAATTAACCACTGATATAGATATCATCTTAGTCTATTGTTTACAGTTCTTAGTCACTAGAAGTACTTCAGAAGGATATAGAGAGCAAACCTGCAAAGGGATGGCGGCATTCAGCCGTTACTGACTGGAACTGGTTGCAGAAGCTGGATGGTGATTTATGACCAATGGGGGGCGCAGGGCACGGTGGTTAGCTGCTTTCTCCTTTCGTGCCTTGTACATCTCTTCTGTTTCAACAACTACCAACCGTTTCACCTATACGGAAAAGAATAACCACAAAACAATTAAAAATTAGAGAAGCCAGATTAGAAAAAGAGAAATAGGAATAGTCCTCAATAGTTATGCTAATGAATTCACAAACCTGCTGGAGCATTCCCCTGACAGTAGGGGTGTTCCACCGCATCACTGTTCGGTTGCATTTCTGAAGACGCAATGCTTCTAAGGTTCGCCTATGGAGCCTCCTAGTGCCCGGAATACCTCTTACAAGCGTAATGTACAGATTTGGGCTCCATGCAATTGGAGCACAGGCTTTGAAAGCATTGAAAGCACTCATATCCTTCTTTACTGCTACCTGGAGTACAATTGATACCTTTTGTCAAAGCTTTACTTCAAAACCTGGATGAAAAGCCACCGATGTGAGAATCAGGCAAGGGGGCTATGATTAAAACTCACAAAAACCTGTATATACACATGAAAGAAGCAAAAGAGATATATAGACAAGCATTGCGAGATAAAAATCATCACCATCTACATTATGAATTTGTAATCCCTTTTTCTATTTCCTCTTTTCTTTAGGTGATTACAGTATAATAGAATATTCTCCCCTCCCCTCCAACCCCTTCACTTTCTTGCAACATTTTGAAAATTAATAATTTCCATGCAACATGCTGAAGCATTAAAAAGGTTGTCACTAGTTTCTGTGCACAGATAAAACTTTAGAAAGACAAAAGGATCAGCATTTGTGCATGCATACAATGATACAAACTTACAGAGGAAAAAAAAATGAGTGCATCATACATAAGAATGAAAAAGTAACAAATAAAATCGGATAGGCAACAAGTGACTACCAGTTTGATGATAGGTAAATAGTACTTGCACTAGTAAACAACCATAAATTTGAAATATTTTGAGCAAAGCAGAACTTATGTCAAAGTTATAAAATCCAGCATTACATTCCCATTCACCTCTCGAGATTATGTCCCTGACAAAATAACAATCCCATTTCCTAACAAAGTACTACAAATTGTCTTCTGAAAGTAACTTGTGGAAAACATTTTCCTTCCACTAACTTCAATTAGTGCCTTAGAGAACTTAAAAACCAGAGAATTCATGATAATTTATATTAACACTGCAATAATCCGACAACCAAAAAAAGTAGACCAAACAGAAAGAGAGGGGGGTCAACTGATTTCTGATAAATTACATATAACAGTAACATGTACCAATACTGGAATAGGGAAACGGTGAAATTCGATTGCGAAAGAATGACAGCTAAAAGTACAAAATTTAAGTAAAATTAAGAACATAAACAATAATATGTTGAAATTTGAGCTTTAGGGGTTGATTTGCAAACTTACAGAAGCTAGCGTTCACTGACCGGAGTGTCGCCGAGGGCGGCGCAGAGGCGGTGAGAGACGATGGAGAAGTGGAGAACGGAATAAGGGATTAGGGATTAGGTCTATGGTATTTTGTGTTTTGTATTGGGCTATTTGATTGGGTCAAAACATAAAATTATTTCTTTTGGCCTTTTGGTAGAAGAAGGTAAATTATGTTGTGGACTTGGGTCAAAACAGTATTGTTTTGCTTTTCTTGTCGTTTGTTTTTAAAATTTGTTTTTTTTTTTTTTTTTTTTTTTTTTATATTCATAATTTTTGAATTATATATTTATAATTTTTAAAACTGATTTCATTCACAATTTTAGATCTTAATATACAAAATTACATAACTCAATATTCACAATTGCAGATTTCTATATTCACAATTACAGAACTCTATATTCACATTTTAGAACTGAATATTCATAATTTTAAATTTCAATATACAAAATTACAAAACTCAATATTCACAATTTTTGAACTCTATATTCACAATTACATAATTCTATATTCACAAGTACAAAACTGAATATTCACTCGCTTAACTGTTTCAATAATTTAAAAAAGAAAAATCATTGGTTGCGGAAACGGTATCACTAACCACATCGTTATTTTCACACGCGCAAACTACATCATTTTGGACCAGAATCTACCTTGCAAGATGGACCCGAATCCATATCATACCTATGCCTTAAGGAATATAGTCACTCACACCAATCAAATTGACTTAATTGCCTTCTATTTAGCCCTCCTAACTATTATACTTTTTGCTTACATGATGTTTTGGAATTCATATTTATATTGAAAATATTTAATTTTACGCTTCATAACTCTATTTGTCATACAGAACTTAAAAAAAAAAAAATTATGACAAAAAAAATCTGTAGTTATTATCTGAGGGTGCAAATCAGATAAATCTCCATAATTTTTATGTAACAAAAATCATGCTTTACCTATTTGATCACCCATTTAAAATAATTACGTTTTTTGAGTTAATTGTAAACTTAGTCCTGTAATTATCATTCATTATCGATTTTAGTCGTTGACTTTATAAAATCAATAAATTATTAGCAAGAGGCACGTTTATCCAATATAAACTCTAGTATTAGGAGGTCAAGAATTTCATTTTTGATTTGGATATGAAACAGTCTTAAATTTTCAAGCCAGTTATCTACCTAAAAACAGATGTTTACAATTTAGCGTGTATCCAATTGTAAAACTCTGGATACATCCCAAAGAAATTAGCTCCACGCCTGCGCCTGCGCGTTTCCATGTTGGTATCAATTTGTCCGTTAATATAGTTACCCAATACTCTGGGCTGAAATTTGAAGCAAGGGAGAGTTTGTCGTCTACATATGTAAAGATATTTTTCAGTTTCCATTATCATCAATCTTATCCCACAAATTAAACATGGCACCACCTCTCAGAACTCAGAAGAACACACAGAAACTTAGGGTCTCGTTTCCATGGCTACTCCCGGCTCTCTCTCCCTCTTACGGTAATTAATGCCTCATCCATCTTTATTCTTTCTTATCCCCTAATTTTACTTATACTTGTAGTAGTAAACGATTCAAATTTTGGATTTTCTTCAGTGGTCCGCTTATCAAATGCCCAGTAAATTATATACTATTTGAGCCAAGAATCTACGGGAGTGGGGTGAGATGGAGGGTGAGAAGCTCCAGTGATGAGTCTAATGAGAACTGGAAAAAGGACAGTTCTTTTGTTGATAAACGAGGAAGAGTTAGACATTTTGATCGCAAAAAGGTTTCGAGGAAAAAGAGTAAGATGATATCTAATGGTTTACAATTCAGATTTTTTTTGTTAGACCATGAGGTGTCTAAGCATGTCCTAAATGTAGGCAGTAATTATGCTGTCCATGGTCCAAAACGGCAGACACTATAGTGTATCTAAACTGACATTGTCTCACGTATTGAAACTGCAGTGTATACAAAATGAAACTGAATAACAATTTCACATATTTGAGTGTATACTTTCCAACAAAATTGTAGTTATATCAAAATGATACTACATACTCAGACTAATCTCCATTTACACTGGGCCGACCCATTTACGGGGTAAAGTGCTGACCAGATGGTTTTTCCATACGAGAGGGGAATTGAACTTCCGACCTCTCGGGATGAGAGTGCACGGCCACTCGCGCCAACCAAGCTGGTTTACAATTCAGATTTATTATGATCTCTCTTACCTAATGGAGTAATGATCAATGGAAATGCAGATGGTTCTTTGAGGGGTAAAGGGTGGAAATATGGGTCTGGATTTGTTGATGGTATTTTCCCAGTGCTGAGCCCCATTGCTCAGCAAATTCTCAACTTTATGCTGCAGAAGGAAACTGACAGGGAACAAATTTGGAATTCTTTGGATAGTCTTCCCCCCACTAATCACTGTTGGGATGATATAGTTAATGTAGCAGTTCAGCTTCGAATCGATAAAAAATGGGATCCAATTATACTGGTAATCACATTTCTTAATATCTTGATATTCAATTCATGGAAATCAACATTCAAACAAGCCTTGTTTATGTTTTTTCTGACTGTATTGTCCAATCACAGCCCGATTAACTGTATTTAAAAGGTTGTGATTTGCTGCATTTTGCTTATAGATCAGATGGGTGTTTCCAGATTTGTGAATGGGTACTGAATAGGAGTTCCTTCAAGCCCGATGTGATTTGTTTCAATCTGCTGATAGATGCTTATGGGCAAAAGTCACTTTCTAGAAGGGCAGAATCTATGTACATGGAGCTTCTAGAATCTCGATGCATGCCAACTGAGGATACATACGCCCTTCTCGTAAAAGCTTATTGCAAATGTAAGCAGCTCGCGAAGGCTGAAGCTGTGTTTTCCGAGATGCGAAAGAATCGCCTTCCCCCGAGTATGTTCGTTGTCTTTCTGTTTCCATTTGTGCATATTAGACAGTTATTAGGAAGTGTATCCTCATAATTTTCAAATTTTTTTAAGGAATTCTTCTAAGGTGGCTCAGCGGATTTTGATCTTTTAGGTTGTTGCAGGTACGGTTGTATATAATGCGTATATTGATGGGCTGATGAAGGCAAGAGAACCCGAAAAGGCTGTCGAGATCTTCCAGAGGATGAAGAGGGAGAATTGTCGGCCCTCGACTGACACTTACACCATGTTGATCAATTTATATGGAAAGGTATATGTAAGAGAATTTTGTTTTCTGCTTGGGGATTTGGTAACCCGTTAGGATTAGTACAACCCGGATGAAACTGTCAGTCGTTTGTCCAGTAGATTGAATCCAACCAATTAGCTAGTCTAACTCATAGCCTTATAAACCCATATGTTTTCTCTTTTGGAATGATGCACAGGAGAATAAATCGTACATGGCCATGAAAGTGTTTGATGAAATGAGGCGTCAGAAATGTAAACCGAATATCTGCACCTACACAGCTCTAGTGAATGCTTTTGCCCGGGATGGCCTATGCGAAAAGGCCGAAGAAATCTTTGAACAGATGCAGGAAAAGGGGCTCGAGCCCGACGTCTATGCCTATAATGCCCTAATGGAAGGTTACAGGTCTTCACCCCACAAACCATCTTAACCTGTTCCCTTCTTGATATAAAAATGCCTTAAAAGCTAAGCTTTTAGTTGTGATTTCGAAGAAGACGTATTTGCTTAGAGTAATATAATGCCTTCGCTTTACAGTCGTGCAGGTTATCCTTACGGTGCTGCTGAAATTTTTTCTCTGATGCAACACATGGGTTGCGAACCAGACATTGCCTCGTATAATATCATGGTAGATGCTTATGGGAGAGCCGGTCTTTATGAGGGTAAGTAACTTAGTAAAACCTAAAATCTTAGCTACTGCCAAAGGCTTTGTGGTCGAGCAGCATAGCTGTGGCCCCTCAAATAGGTTCGAAGCCCAGTGTGGGGGCTTTGACTCTTTGTGCTGCTTCAGTATGTTGAGAAAGTATGTATGAACAGATACTACATTGTAATTATTGATTCAGATGCGCACGCTATATTTGATGAGATGAAGCGGCTAAGAATAGCTCCGACGATGAAATCCTACATGCTACTCCTATCAGCCTACTCGAGAGCCGGGAATGTTTCACAATGCGAGGATATTGTGAAGCAAATGCACATCTCGGGGATCAAACCAGACACATATGTTTTCAACACCATGCTAAACCTGTACGGGCGTCTAGGCCAGTTCGCGAAAATGGAACAAGTCTTGGCCGCGTTGGAAAGTGGACCATACGTACCCGATATCAGCACGTACAACATCCTGATCAACTCATATGCTCGGGCAGGGTTCATCGAGGACATGGAAGAGCTTTTCAGGTCACTTCCGGGTAAGAACTTGAAGCCCGATGTTGTGACGTGGACTTCTCGGCTAGGAGCTTATTCCAGGAAGAAACTGTACGACAGATGCCTCGAGATTTTCGAGGAAATGATCGATGATGGATGTTACCCGGATGACAAAACCGTTAAGGTGTTGCTGTCTTCTTGTTCGAGTGAAGAACAGATTGATCAAGTTACCACTGTTATGAGAACAATGCACAAACATCCTGCTGCCATGGAGCTGGTTTGAATAAGTGGCAGCTTCTTCCTGGACAAATGCAACTCAAACATACAGTCATTATATGAAAATTGTAGTGTTTCTAAAGAAAAAAACCAAAAATTAGGTGATTGAAAAGGATGTTATGCAATTTGACTGATTATTGATACTTTGTTAGGTGTCTGAAAAAGAATTGTGGGATCCTAGTTTATTAGGGAGTTAATGGATTTTGATTTATAACACCAACAATTGAGTCTACCTAATATACATTTTTTAATATTCACCAACTAATATTCTCCAAAGCCAGAAAGCTACAAGTTATACATAAGAGCAAATTATTCTATAGATCCAGGTCCACCTTGCAAGATGGACCTGGGTTCGAAATATACAGTTTACTACCGGCCTCTGGTCCTGGGCGTCTGTTCTCTGGGCTCATCAGTGTTTCTTGGACACCATCCATCATAGGGGTTTCGCAGACCACATTCGGTGTCATTCCGTCGCATTTCCAGTTCTTGGTGTTTTGCTCAAGAATATTTTAATCTTTCGGCAACTGTTGACATGTTTCCTCCGGTGCCATTTGAGAGAGCATTGCGGTGACAATGTCTCAATTTAATCTAGCTAGTTAATATTTGTATATTGACAATTAAATTAAATATATTATAAAACGAAAATAATTATTCTCAATATTCGTAATACAATTAAAAATATTCAAAATAATTTATTTAAATAATTAATCAAGCAATTCGCAACGAATTATTTTATTAAAGTGAAATGACGTTGGCAGGAAAATTATTCTTTTTCCTTACCAAAAATCTTATGCTTTTCTACTACATATTTTATTCATTCTAGGGATGTCAATGTGCCCCGTCCCCGTAGGGAATGTGGACGGGGAATTTTTGAAATTCCCTGGCGGGGGCCGGGATGGGGCCCGTCCCCAAATATATATATATATATATATATATATATATATATATATATATATATATTAGTTTAGGAGTGGGAATTAGATTATTAACAGTATATATTAGAGGTTTGGAGCATTCAATATATTCCATTGGAGATTATTAACTATACTGTGTATATATTGATGATTATTAACTATACTGTGTATATACTTATACAATGTACATATTGGATTAGTTGGAATATATCGAATGTTGATTACTTTGGATTGTGAATATTGAATGAATGTGTATATATTGGATTAATGGGAATATATTGAATGTTGATTAATTTGCACGGTGAATATTTATATTGAATGTCAGAATATGTATAATATGTATAATATTATAAACTCTCATAAATCAATGCCACAAATTTTTATTTATTTTTTTTAAAATTGTATCAGTTTGACACTTTGACTATGGGTTGATCAGGGATGGGGGTTCCCCGTCCCCGCCAAATTCCCCGTGGGGACGGGGACGGGGAATTTTTTCTATTCTTCGCCAGGTACGGGGACGGAATCGGGGTAGCAGGGACGGGGATGGGGAGTATACACCCCGCCCCCGCCCTCGCGCTGCCCCGTTGCCATCCCTAATTCATTCCAGTCGTTATATCATAGATGCACCGCGGTAAAAAACGGCACTGTTTCTTTAAGTAAAGAAACGGTCCATCGTTATAGTTAACGGAGTCCGCTTGTTTGGTGTATTAAACACCAACTGACACTACTGTATATCTAAACCGACACTGCAGTTATATCAAAATGATACTGTAGTTATAGTGAAATGAAACTGCAGTGTATATAAAACGAAACTGAATAACATTCACATATTTGAGTGTATATTGTACAATGAAGCTGTAATTATATCAAAATGGTCATGTAGTTGTGTTTTAATGAAACTATAGTGTATATAAAATAAAATTAAATAACATTTTAACATATTTGAGTCTATAAATATCGAATGAAACTATAGTTATATCGAAATGAAACTGTACTTGTGTTGAACTGAAACTACAGTATGTACAAAATGACACTGAAGAACAGGGTTACTTTTTGCAAAAGGGTGCGAAACAGCGGAAAACAAACACTGTTTATTTTCATTTAAAAAAAAAGACGCGCGGTGCATGATATAATTTGCCAATTCATTCATACCAAATATCTATATCTATATTAATAAAAAAAAATCAAATCAAATTAGTTGCCTAAAAAGAGGGGATTTTTATCTCAAAAATAGGAAGCAGGGGACTACAAAATCTACCGTGAGACCCTTCGCACCGAGTCACCACTGAAGAGACAAAAGGGCAACTAAGCAAGTGCAGATTGACGGCATATTCAAACATCACTCCAAACTCACCAACTTCCTGTTGATTGCTGAAAGTGAAAGGAGGGTTTGTTGGCACATCGATCCGCGAGTGGGTGAGCGGTGAGCCACCACCTTTTGTTTTTTTCTTTATATATTTTAGTTTTCCCACTTTTTTATATGATGAATTTACATTTATAATTGTCTCAATCTCTACCAGTTTTTCCCACATTCAAGACTTAACAAAGGGCGGCGTGCTTCTTTCTGTGTGTATTCGAAGCGGCGGTGTGAGTAGAGATGGCTATGCGGGTTTGGGCTTCAAGGGCTGCTTCTTACCTTAGGATCTCGGCTTTCCCCAGAGGCTTTGCTACTGGTAAAGACTCTCTTTCTCTCTGTGTTTTAGGCGGCGGGGATCAGACTTTACTTGGCTGAATCTTAGTGATGGGAATTGCTTGATCTGTTGTTTTCTTGAATAAAGATCTGATTTTTGAATATGGGTTGTGCTGATTGCTATGTCGTAGATCACTTGATAGATTAGTGGTCCATGAGGAAATGAAATCTTTCTTTGATGTGTATATTGGATTTCTCATTATGGTATGATATATTGTCTGTTAAATGTGTTGATGAAATGTGGATCATTACCCTTCCATACCTGGGATAGACTTGAATCTTTTTCTTTTTTTCTCCTGATACATATTGGTTTTTGTCTTTTAGTGTGTTGATAAAATGTGGATCATTACCCTTCCTAGGTTATTGTTTTGTGAGGGTTCCTTAATTACTAAACATGCTCTAAAGTTTCTTGAACTTTCATTGCCGATTTTCTTTGGCCAGACCACTTTTAGTTCCTACTTTTATACATGGTTGCCATTTCAAATGCCTTTGATTGTTTTATGAGTTTAGCATAAGTAGATAAGCAGAAAATGTACTTATCCAAACTGAACCTTATTGTCTTGTGAATGTTTTGAGTTTAGCATAAGTACATGTTAGTGAGTAGAAAAGCAGAAAATGTGCTTATCCAAACTGAACCTTATTATTGTCTTGTGAATGATATTTCCTATGCTAAATTTTATCAAGGAGATGTGTACATATATGGATTCTTAAAATTTTAAATGATGTATACATAAATGATGACCCAAAAGATGAAGAAATTAAATAGTCAAGAGTGTGGGGAAAGCCCTTTTGTAATATATCATTTTGTGAATATATTCATGATTGGTTTCCTTTTACTGTTTGTTGCAGTTGCCAAGGATTTGAAGTATGCAGACACCCATGAATGGGTTAAAGTTGATGGTAGTTCTGCCACTGTTGGCATCACCTATCATGCTCAGGATCATCTAGGCGATGTGGTCTTTGTTGAGTTACCGGAAGTTGGGGTTGATGTAAAACAGGGCGACAGTTTTGGCGCTGTTGAAAGTGTTAAGGCCTCCAGTGATGTCAATTCTCCTATTTCTGGCAAGGTGGTTGCAGTTAATGAGAAACTCAATGACTCCCCAGGCCTGGTATGTTTCCTAAGTTTGTAGTGTTTAAGATTCTTAAACAAAAAAGAATTTCGTCATTGTGTTTTACCCTTTTGCTAGAACTGAATAGTTTTGCTTTCAAATTGTTGCTAATTTTTTTTGTGATATTCACAAGCGAACATTTTGGACAATCATCAAAATGGCTATAGTATTATTGTGACAATAAATAGGATATATTTATTAGGAGAAACAACATATTTGGTCCCTAATTTCTCCCGGTATAGATTCGGTCCCTCAATTATTGTCTTGGTTATCTCTGAAGTGGCGGTTTTGGTCTTTTTTTCATTAATCTTTTTTTCATGAAAATTTGATTTCTTCTTCTTTTTCAATCGTTATATCGTGGACCACCACCGTGGTCCGTGGACCCTGGTCCAATGCCTAGAATTCATGTTCATAATGCACAGAATTCATGTTCATAATACACATACACATAAACACGATATAATGAATATGAATTCTGTGCATTATGAACCTGAATTTTGTGTATTATGTTACGTGTTTATGTGTACTCAGCTATATAATTCTGTGTATTATGAACATGGATTCTGTACTTTATGAAGTCAAATTCTGTATATTGGACCAGGTCCACGATATAAATTGCCCTTCTTCTTCTCCTCCTTGTATGAGTAGTCAGTTGGTAAGTGTGTAAATTGGATTTCAGGTTAACGGGAGCCCGTATGAAGATGGGTGGATCATGAAGGTGGAGGTAAGCGATGCGAAGGAACTGAGTTCCTTGATGGATGCGGAGCAGTATTCGAAGTTTTGTGAAGAAGAAGATGCAAAGCATTGAGGGAGGGTTGCTTCACAGTACAAAGCTGATGACAAGAAAAAGTTGTTAAAACTTTCTAAACTTGTGGATTCTTAAGGTTCCTATCAATGGCTGCTCAATCACCATAGGTCTTTTTAGGTTTATTGGTTTTGGTTTCTGAGTTGTCATTGGTATGGTGTTGCACAAGTGCACAACACATTGCAATCAAAATGTGCAGTACTTTGATGGTTTGATTTTTAAGTTGATAATAATCTTTCTTGAAGGGAATTTAGAACATTATTTATCTGTGTGTCACAAAGTTTCAAATTACATATGATATTACCCATAAGAAAGAAAAGACTGTTTCCAAGAGAACTTGACAACCCACATGCCACATGCCCTTTTAATATATATTTCAATTGGTTTGGTGTTCCCATTCATACTCTAAAAACCAAAGGGGTTATATTTGATTACAGATTTAAAATTATTTTAAGTTATTTTTTCCATATTGGTCTAATACAAGTGCCGCATCAAAGTTGTGTGTCAAAGTCAAAGTAAATAAATATACAGAAACTCACTCTTAACTGAATATACAGAAACTCAGTCTTAACTGAATACACAGAAACAGAAAAAACTACTGAATACACATAATGGAGTTTTGGTTGTTTGGATGGACGGAATGACGTTAGCAATTGAAATGGGCGCGTTTTGTGCCTAGGTGCACATTGCTATGTGTGCCATAGTGCACGATATAAATTGCCCCTTCAACCTGCCCCTGTGCATGAGCACGTGTCGTGCCGAACTTTTGACATGTGTTCTCCTTGTTCTTCTATAAATATCAGTGTTGCAAAAATCGCGCCTAGGCACTGTCCCGCCGCGGCGAGGAAGGCCGGAATCGGCTTAGCCGACTGAACCGGCCATTTATTATTATTATTATTTTAGTTGTAAAGTGTTAAAAGTTCGGCAACTGACTCGGTGCAGAAGGCGGTTTGGCCCTCTAATTTCTCCAATTTCTCCAAAAAATGGATGATTTTAACAATATTTTGAACGATTTTACAACCACCTACGTAAATAATTTGTAAGAAAAAACTAGAGGAACTTTATATTTTATTAGTGAATTTTATAATTTTTAGTTTAATTAAAAAAAAAAAAATAACCTAGGTGCCGGACGCTCCCTCCGCGCCTAGTATTTTGCAACATTGATAAATATGGGAATGGACTCCTGGCTCATTCTACATAATAATTACTATATGTTCAGTACAGTTTGACCCACTGTAAACCAGTAAAATTGTGTCGAGTAGTTGCTTAAATTGATATCTATGAACTCAAAATCCCTAAGCCAAAATGTGTTGAATTTGGTGGTTGCATTTCCATGGTCATAGCGATTGGAAAGTTCTCTCGCTCACTCTCCCTGTGTAGTGTCTCGTTTTCATGGCTACCGCGAGCTCTCTCTCCCTCTTACGGTAATGCCTCGCACATCTCTATTCTTTCTTCTCCTCTAATTTTACTTTGTGAATTTTACTTTACGATTCAATTTTTGGATTTTCTTCAGTGGTCCGCTGACAGTACGAGCTTTAGGTTTCGTTAGAGCGTCTAATACTCGTCTTCCCCAGTCTCTTCCGCTCTTCCATCGCGCTATTCACTACCGCAGGTTTATTCTCTTTGTTTGTTTGTAGTCCAAAGTAATTGTTCAATATGCTTTAAGCCTTGCTTTTTATTCTCCACTTTGTATTCATCTGCTGTCTTACTCGTCATTCTTGATTTCCATTCTTTAAATTTAGAATTCCATTTTGAACCAATTTCTTATCTTTTCACCATCATCATAGCAAATCATTCACATTACAATGAAATTGCATACTTATAAAAGCTTAGAAAGTTAAAATTATTTGTTTGAGATTAGACACGGCTTTACTGCATTAAAATTGCAGCATTATAAGTATGCAATTTCATTGTAATGTGAATGATCTGTTATGATGATGGTGAGTTGATACAAGATAAGGGCAACTTCTAATTCAACCAACCATTTCTTTAAGGGAAACATCTATTGGTTAGCTTCTAAATTGGTATGCTTTATGGCAGTGATTGTTGGTGGTGAAAAAGCAAAATGTCTATGAAATGGTAATAGCTGAGATGAGGATGTTATGATGGAGATGTGAACATACAAGAAAGTGCTAATAGAAATGACTTTTTCTCAGTGTTACAATAGTGGTTATCATTGTGGACAAATTAAGGTAAAACCTATAAAGATGGTTTATACATGATTAATGTAGACTGGTGGGTGCACCAGTTATAAAGAAATAGAATAGGTGATAGGTGCGGATGGGGAAGTTCATAACCTCTTTAGGTTGAAGTTATTAAGAGACAAATGTTAGGTCCCAATGTCCCATGACCATAGTAGATTTAACTCAGCTAAAGCTCAAGGGGGTTGGGTAAAACATCGAATTTTTAGTTACCACAATGTAAATGGCAAATCTCTAGTTTTAGCTCAAATTAGCTTAAGGTGTATAATATTACATGGTATCTGGTATAATATAAGATTGGGTTAAGGTCACTCAACTGGGCTATAATATACATGGGTCAAACCACACGAAAAGATTGAATCTAATCAATTAGCTATAGCTAGTCCAGCTTACGAAAGCTTGGATGCCACCAATACCACGGCTAGACAACCGGGTGAACACAAAGTGGAACAAATAGACTCTGATACCATGTTATAATCTAAGATTGGGTCAAGGTCACTCAATTGGGCTATAATACATATGGGCCAAACCACACTAAAAGATTAAATTTAATCAACTAGCTAGTCTACCCTATGAAAGCTTGGACGCAACCAATACCACAGGTAGACAACCGGGTGAACACAAATGGACCAAAGATACCATGTTATAATCTAAGTAAAAGAATTTAATTAGCTAGTTTAACCCACAACCTTATAAATCCATACTTCTAACTTATATTTTCGATGTGGAACTCTTAACAGTATCAATCCGTCTCTAAGCAATAGGCTAATCTACATGTTGTTCTTATATCGGCCAAAATGATAAAGTGGTAAAATATTGCTTGCTAGTATCCACATCCTTATAGGAGTTAAAGTTGTTAGATTTACTGTTTTAATGGTAAATTTCTCTAAATTTGACTTATATGTTTTGATTCTTCTAAGGTTAACTTTTGAAAATGTATACTCCGTATTTGATTTAAGCACTACACATCATATATTATTTATCAAGCATTATATCTTCAAATATTTGATTCTTTGTTGGCAAACAATAGAAGTTGAATTGCTTCTTCAACAATCTTACTGTCATGTTACTAGTGGGGTAGATCTTGCTATATTATTCTGCTAACTGGAATGTCATTAGTGGCCCAAAATGAAAAGAAGTTTGCAGTTTAAAGTTTCAGCATTTTACTATTTTTAGCATCTATTCTACATTCTGGTTAAAAAACATTGAGCTATGTAAGGTAGCGGTGGCCCTGCTACCATGCTAAACCTCTCCATTCCCTTCCATCTGTCTCTCTACCCCCATTTCCCCTAGAGTTTCTTGTTAAGTTTTATTGGCTCTTATTTTATTCTGTATATTCTTTTGGAAGGTTCAGCAAGATATTCTTTACCTTTGCATATTCAGGTCTTATGTAAGTGCTGCAACTGATGAAGAGGCTTCTGCCAGGCTTGCTGCAGCCACTGCTGATACTGGAGCCCCAACAATGTAGTGTTTGCTTATATATGCTGTTTAACTTTTGTTCTTGTTTCAGACCTTATTATACTTTGTGACTAAATAAAAATGGTTAGGCCCTAATTGTTAATGTTGGAAAACATTAAAGAGATCTTTGACATTGGAAATTTGCAAAATCACTATAGCAGTAAGTGGAATTCTAGCAGCATGCAATATTTAATGTTGGATTCTTTCCCTCCCTTTTTGAATTCTTTTACCCTTCTGCTGTACACTTAATATTAGAAGCAATGGAAAGATTGTATCCGTTGTCTTGATTGATCTTGATTCAAAAATTCATGAAATCTGACTTAAATTCAGATTGGTATGAATTTCTGTAGTTTACGCCTATAGAGCTTTATTCAAAAGGTCACCGGCTCATTGCTGTGAGGTGATGGTGTTGCATAGTTGCATCTATACTATCACTTTATTCTAACTTGTATTTTATTTTGTTATTTTTTTTTTTTTTTAGATTTGATAAAATAATTGCTAAGGAGATACCTTCAACCATAGTATATGAGGATGATGAGGTTCTTGCTTTTCGGGATATCAATCCACAAGCTCCTGTTCATGTTCTAATTATTCCAAAATTAAGGGATGGATTAACACAACTCAGCAAGGTCAGTTTTTTTTTTCCTCTTCTCTCTCTCTCTTCCCATCTAATTTGCTGAGAATAAAGGTTCTTCTGAGGTGCTTCCATGCTGATAGTAACAATGCTGGTTACTAAAAATAGTAAGTGATGGGGTACATTCTGAATTCTATAATTTGACAGTGTACTCCATCCTTATTATTTTTAGTATCAGGCATGGTAACTATTGTAGAAATTTCCTATAGTTATATATTTCATGAGAAAGAGAGTGATAGAATCTAATGCGAGAAAAACCCTGGATAGAAAATTTCCTAGTATTCAAGATTTTTTTCCCACCAATGAAAATATGTTACACATTGTCCGCCACTTGTAATTGTACTTTGTTGCTGACTTGCTGTCAATAATACTGGACTTCAAGATTTTGTCTTCACTCTTTTGTTGAACTTCATCCTTTTCAACTTCTTCAGTTCTTCCTATCCTCCTCCTTAGTCACTTTTATGTTAAGAGTCCAGGTTGTAAAAATAAGAGAGAAACATATGGATAAGGCCATGGTTGGACTTGCTAATTGATTGGATTCATATTTTTAGTGTGGTTTGGGGTCCATTTGTATTACAGCCCAATTGAGTTGACTTCGGCCCAATCTTAGATTATAACATTTTTACAATTGGTATTTATGAGTGCTAATACTCTTAAAACCTCCAACCTTTTAGGTTATTAAAGTTTAGAACAATTTTGGGGACTTGGGGCAAACATGATGAAATCTTGATATTATGCAGTAGAGTCAGATGTGGTGCAGTGAAGCTTGCAGCCATCTCTGATCTTATTACATGTTCGTCTTTTGCTATTATTGATGAGATTTCAGCAATCATTATTGTGTGAACCATATTTTGTATAGTGTAAAATAATGTACATTCAGTACAAAAATAATGTACTTTTAGTATATTAAAAATGTACATTATATTCAGGGGATGTACATTATTTGTGTACTGAGTGTACATTATATTATATAATGTACATTCAGTACACATAAAATGTACTTTTTGTTATGGTCTGGACCATGGTCCACACAATAATTTGCTAGATTTCAGTAGATTGAAATGATCTGGCAACAGTTTATTGTGATCAAGTCCATTCTCATTCATTACTGGTGTTGAATTTGGAAGATGGAATGGCTTGGCGGGTGGAGAATAACACCACCCGCCAGTTAGGCGGAAGCAATAATGAAGAATCAGGAAATGAGAGAATGTATATAAAACTGAAAGGTTACTAATATATTCTCTGTTAGTAATACAGAAACACAATACATATATATATATACAAATACATAACTGTAAATACCTATTAATAAACAGATACAACCCTATAGATAAACCTAACTATTTAGTTTTCAACAACTGGCTGCATTTCTATCTCATATATATGTAGGCTGAAGAAAGACACACAGAGATCTTGGGACGTCTTCTCTATGCTGCCAAAATTGTAGCAGAGAAAGAAGGAATTGTGGATGGCTTTCGAGTTGTTATTAACAATGGCCTTCAAGCGTGTAAGTCTATTCTTTTCCTATGTCATTTGAACTTTGAAGGGGGAAGCAAATTAAAATAAGAATCAATTCTCTAACCTTAACAACGAACTATTGCACTCACACATGTATGCCCATATGCATTTGGCACCCCATTCTTTAACAGTACACAGATAGGAAAGGAACTATTTCCGTGCACTCCTATGACGCAAATGGTTTCAAAAGGAAAATACTTGGTGTGCTCCCATTTTAAACTCCCAACTTGTACTCCCTCTCACATGTTCTTGATGTAGACATTTTTCTGTGGACCCACATGATGAAAATAACCAATCCTGGATTGCCACCTCAGGGAGTATAAATAAGGGAGTAGAATTTTGGGAGTTCTTTCAAAATGAGCTTTGTTCATTTGCTTCTTACAGGTCAATCTGTTTACCATCTTCACTTGCACGTACTCGGTGGGAGACAGATGAAATGGCCTCCGGGCTGATCCAGGATATATATCATCAAACTTGCACACACTCGGGTCAATCAAGTTTAGAACTTGTAAGTGTTTGAATCTGACACTAAATATACACATGTTAAACACAAAAAAAAAAAAAAAAGAGTGAACTCATATAATGATTGCTATTTTTATATATATAGAAATAATGATTGCTATTCTAGAGGGCTGATTTTCACCAAGAGCATTGGTGTATATTTGTGCCATACACAGAAGTAAACAGTTGGTATACAGTACCGGCTAGGATCAACACAGCGCTACGTGGACTATGGTTGTCAAATAAAAATATAGTAAAATTAATTAATGTTGTTATAATAAAACTAGTGTCTGTGAAAAACAAAACTAAAAAATGGAACTTATTTAATAATGTATATTGTTAAATGAAATTGTAGTATAATTAAAATGATAGTTGAGTAGTTTTCAAAAAAAAAATGATAGTTTAGTACTTTTAATTATAATTAATTAAATATAACATTTATATAATACATTATATTTATTAAATAAATATAAATATTATATAATGTGGAAATGGTATTTGTGATATAAAAGTTATTCCCAAGGGCATGGGAATAGCTAATATTAAGCCCCCCTAGGAATGACTATTCCCCTTGCAAGGTAATAGCTCATTCCTAGGCATGTTATTCCCATGACAAAATGATCCAACCAAACGATGAAATAGGTCTATTCCAAGGAATGTTATTCAATTCTTGACCTATTCCATGAACCAAACATGTCATTAGTATAATGAAACTACTGTGTATGCATAATGAAATATACAATTACATATATTGATAAATGAACTTGAAGTGTAATTAAAATAATAGTTCATCCTCATTATAATTAAATTAGCGTGTGGAAAATGTAACTAAAAAATAAAGCTTATGCAATAATGTATACTGCTTGTCAAATGAAATTGTAGGAGGTTCTATCATGGCTCATGGATCGTGGACATCGGAGTGTACGTCTCTACACGGATTGCCTAACTCTAAAGAATTACTTGTCGTCCAATAGTGGACCAGTTCGTTCTTATGTTGGCTATGCCATAGATAGTTGCAAGTCTATTATTACTTCGTTTGATTACTGCTTTATTAGCTTCGTACCTAGATCAGATAATTTAGTAGCTCATACTTTAGCATCTTCAGCTTTTGATTACGCTACTGTTATGTATTGGGATGATATCCCACCTGACACTATTTCAGCATATCTCTAATATAAACCGTTTTGGTTGTTTTAAAAAAAAAAAATGATATATTGATATTGCTATAATGAAAGTATATGAAACTAGTGTGTATGGAAAATAAAATTAAAAAACAGGGTATTATTGTAAAATGAAATTAAAGTGAAATTAAAATAGAATGATAGTAGAAGGGCAAATTATTGTATGGACCATGGTCTACACAATGTTATGTGGACTATAATAAAAAATACATTTTTAATATACTAAATATGCATTATTTTTGTAATGTACATTATATAATGTACACTCAGAACAAAAATAATGTATATCCCATATATACAATATACATTATTTTTGTATTGAATGTACATTATTTTATAATAGACAAAATATGGTCCACACAATAATGATTGACTTGATGGTCCATAGTAAAATTTGCTAAAAGTAAATGAATGTGCATATTAGATGCCATGCCCATGGTGTTTATTAATAATTAATTATTTAGTTGAAAGTTTGAAACTTATACTTGCTGCATGTATTTCAAAAACAATACGAGCTAGCAACAAATAATGTGGACAAATTAAAGTCGGATCTTTAGTGTATAATTTATATTATTGATAAGATGAGATGTCCTAGTCTCTAGTCAGGCTGCCGTCCCATGGCATGACATGCATATATGAAATTTTGATGAAAATATAAAAATATTATATTTGTTCTAATATATATATATATATATATATATATATATATATATATATATATATATATATATATATATATATATATTATTACCAGTATTACATTTGATAGTATAAGTATTATTACATTTGCAACCTACTTTGTATAGAAAGATCAAAATGTCATTGTATTTAACGATATTTTAATGATTTTGTTGAAGAGGACAAAAAATGGTCATACCACAATAATATTAGAACCAAATAAGGATGTTCTAATAATAAAAAAAAAGACTAAAAGTAGACGGTCACATATAAATCTAGAACAAAAAAAAAATGGAATTAACACCTTTTTAATAGGAAAAAAGTGTCAAACTGGTCAATAAATCCCTCAAATAGTGTAATATGATCTCCTAACTGAATAGAAAACCTTGCAAGTCTGCAACGAGATATCTTAAATGGAAAAATATTGTAATTAGGTCTTAATTTTAATTATTTAACAAGTTACCGTTGATGTTGTACTCACTAAGCTAATACATAACGTTTTAGTGCTCATGTAAATCCTAAGTGTATGTAATTTTATTTTATTTTTATTTGTTTTCATTATTTTGATTAAAAAAAAAAACTACAATACTCGTATAGTCATTCGGCTTTGAGGAACTATTTCCATTAATGTACAACCAAGTGGCTGTCCAATTCCCCTCTTAGTGACCAAGGCCGCTTAGCCCCACATTCATTTGCAAGATTTAGACCTCTTTGGGTCTAAATCTGGATAGTCATGGCTATGTTAGGGAATTAAAAAAAAATTGTATAATAGAACCTTGTTATTTTGATATAATTTGTAAATATAGAATCATTTGAATCTTTAAAATATAGATTAATATAAATTTTTTTTAATTATATTCAAATATAGTTTTCATTAAATTTAATATATATTAATTAATTGTGTTAGGGCTCACGCTTCTAGGTTAGAAGACCGGTGTGCTGATTGAATAACTATTTGACTAACAATCAAATCAATTAAAAATTTCATTTTTGGGTAAAAAAAGTTTAATTATTTTAATTAAAATAACATAACCTAAAATCCAAAAATGGCTAAGAGTTAAATTAAAATAAAAATGTAAGTTAATGAAAATTAACATTAAGTTCAATAAAATTATAAAAATCAAATACACTATGAATTACTACTCATCACTATCATAATCAACATCGTGATCATGGCAACAAGTGAAAGTTAAAAACTTCTGCATACGGCGAGAGCATTCAGGGCATCTTTCATTTTCAGGAATTTTGCTCAAGGTAATTGGATATTCAAGGGTACAACAAGAATGCTTATCCTTGGAAAGCATCTCATGGTGGTCTTTGAACGCCTGGCCAAAACTTTTGGTGGCAGCTATGTTTTCCTTCCAAATCTCGTAGTCATTCATGGCTTGCAACATTTTACTTCCATGTCCACATACAACCACTTCTGATCCTTTGCTTAACAAGGCCCATCCTTCAGTTGTTGCATTCATGCTTTCATAGGACAATAATTTTTTGAGTCCTTGCAAAATTTCATCATTGTTGTTTTCTTTAACAAGGTGATTAGTCATCTCTAAATATTGAATTCTTGACAAAAACATACTTCGAAGACGAGTCCAAAACCACCATACTCCATAAGAATCACGCAATGGGCAATGACTCATTCTTTCTTTATTAATGATTCCTCTTATCATTTTGTTTTTCCCAATGTAGGCCAACTCAAAGTTCATTTGGGTTTTGGAGGCAACTTCACCTGACTTATTAAGGAATTCTCGAATCCATTTAATGTTGTTTCCTCCATATAAGAAAATATATATTCCCTCACCAATCTGAAAAGAAAAACATATTAGCTAGCTAATTGATAAATAAATAATTACATATATATGAAAATACAAAGTTACTTGAATGTGGGCTTACCCAATCATTTATTGGTGTGCCAATTGTATAATAGAGGCGGCCAGATCGTGGTGCCAGAAGATGAAGAGTCCAAGCAGTTTCTTGTTTCCACAAACGTTTCTCCTTTTCGCTGTCATACGGAGTAGATTGTACTGTCTGATGATAAATGAAAATAAGGTAATTAATTAATGTTAGAAAAAGAAGAATATATGATAATACGGTGTAAATGAATCAAAAAGTAGAAGGTCGCAGTAGTGTACCACTTCTTGAATTATGCCTTCAACATCCTTTTTCCAAGCATTTATCTGTGAATCGATGTTACGTACCAAATCCCTTGTCATTGAGTCAATTTTAGGTCCCACATGCCGAGATTCTGAACTTGCTTCAATGCCGTAAATCCCTTGCTTCAACTCGTTTTGTATGATAAGACTTATGTTATGTGGAACGACATTTACCCCTATTGTATCTTGTTCAATATAATCGGGGGCCCAAGTGAGTATCATGTGGATGACATTTGAGTGAGCAATTCTTCCTCGTTGGTCAAGTGAAACAATTATGGGTTCCTCTCCCCATCGCATTTTAAACAACTCTTCTTTAACAAATCTTGTGAATTCTGGCCTCATCATTTCTTGTGGATCATTCAACCAAAATAACTCTTCTTGTTGCTCATACTCAGGGCTCCATGATGCATCATCCTGTGTGATTGGGATCCAAATAATATATGGTCTTGAGTTGCGGTGAAACCAAGTTAAAAAATGAATCCATTCTTTAGGGACGCCGACACCTGATGTTATTAGCAGCATCACTAATGCGTTTTTCCAATGCCTTAATGCCTAACATATAAACAGAAATATTAACATGTATATAAGAATGGAATGCAAGCCTAAGCTAATAATTCCTAACCCAATCAATTATCTTCCCTTAGCCAAAAACTCCACCCAATTGTGTATACACACCGTACCATAATAGCAATAATTAGGACATGATTGCCCGCATGGCAGTTCAGTTAGTCACCGGAGTTAAGTTTGAGAATAATGACGTGTGATCGAGTATGACAATGTGGAATAACCTATATGATTGTACTACAATTTTAAAATTTACATTACACATATTAGTTAGATGAAATAGTTCTAGTAAATCCAAATATTTTTTTTGAGAATTCTAGTAAATCCAAATATAATATAATTAATTAAACAAATCTAGTTCAATAATTTTTTAATAAAAAAAAAAAAAAAAAAAAAAAAAAAAAAAAAAAAAAAAAACAGCAGTACTGCCGTTGTAATAGTATGGAATTATATTGATCGAAATATATGGCTGTTTAGTTTCAAAACCTTACCGTATGATGCCAACGATCATGAAATATTCTCTCATGATAATTTTTGACATTAAACATTAATTTGAAAACTTCTAACTTATTAGAAGAGCCGTTATATAATGCATTTCGCAATGCTTCATAAGATTCCTCCTCCTTTTTCTTTGCTGCATATATTATATGAAAAAACAATGTATTAAGATGTGTGTGCATAATCTTCAATAAATAAATCAAGTGCGTAAATATTTGGTAACGTAGCTTTACATATAAAATCAACTAACCTAGTTCTGCAGAGAAAGTAGCCATTAAGCTGGTTATTTCCCTATGTTCATTTTGAACCCTGTAACAACAACAATAATAATAAGCTAGTAAATTATGTAATTTTGGGTGATTTTTTTTGTGAGATGGGTCGAGATAAATAAAATATAATACTTATGTTGTGATCGAAAATGTAATACTAATTAGAAATTAAAAAAATGTATAGATCAGTAATATTTATGGATTGAACAATTACTCATAAAAAAAAATTAATTATAATATTAATCATAAATAAATTAATTGATTGTAACTAATGAAAGAAAATGTAATACTTATGAAAAATTATACTCGTCTTACGGAATCACATATGAGAGTTCATGAGGCTGTCTAGTCTCATAGAGATTTGCAATGTATTTTTTTCCATGCAATGTCATGAGGCACTGTACTATCAGAAGGTATGTACTAGGTAAACTTTACCTTGTGACCCTAGTAAATTTTATCTTGTGACCCTAGTCGCATCGGTAAAGGACTATATAGAGAGATAAACTAGTACAGATTTTCCATAACTAACAGACTAAAACCAAGAATACATACTAATAGTACACTATATTGATATTAACTAATAATGAATATATCAAAACTTTAAATCTTACTTGAAGCGAGGGTCACAAGGATAGGCGGCACAGTTAACAACATTTCTGCCTATCCAATAGGCAACCATTGGCAAGGCCGAAATTACAGATTGCGGAGGGGAGTAAGATAGCCATTGTTTCAGCTCAACCACACATTTTGTCAGTTCTATGGCTGAACTAATTATGCAGCAATCCTCAATTTCTCTTTGGTTGTTATTGTCGGAGGATAATTGTGTTGGAATTGGACAATGACTACTTTGTTTCAGATGTGCCAATTTTGAGGCTAATCCTTTGCCTTTTTGCAGTAGCGGTGAAAAAAGGATGAATTCTCCATGGATTATGGAGAAAGCTGCAATCATAAGGACTAACTTATCCTCCCATGAATATGGAGACAAAATGCTGAGTACATGAATTGTGATGGAGTGTCGATTTGCAATTACTATACATTTTGAAAATTAAATGACCAAATATATAATATAGCCATCCTATCAGTCATTGCAAACATTACTATACATTTTGATCATCTATCATATATATATAGCCCCAATTGATCCCAAGAATCTAATCACACCTCGAATGAAAGTTGTTTGATATGAAGTGGAAGTTGCTTGTAACTATCGAGCTCTTCTAGTTGATTCAACTCCTCCACCCTGGCTTTTTGAGCAGTACCCTGCAGATCAATCCCCATAGTACATAAATTTTTCATTTAAAAATAAAAACCAAAGCCTTCTTCAAACAATTATATTATTATACGACATGCATATATGGATTAGTTGTATAGTACCACAATCTAATAACTACTTTTGTTCGTAGACCGGTAAAGTCAAACATAAAATATAGTTTTAAGATATCATGAAGTGATAAGTAGAATGACAAACCATCTCAAGGCTAAGAGCCTTTTCTGCCATGTTCAAAATGGCATTGCTATTAAATTCTCTGCCATCATAGTTGTGAGTGGACAAAACCTGTTCTCTGATTATACTCTCATCAACAGGTTGGCTGCTTAGTGATGTGAGCATCATTGTCGGTTGTGAAATTCTTCTCTGGGATACAAGTACACTTGTTTGTGCTGCCATATTGCATGGAGAATATGTATAATTAGCTACTTGAGGGTGGTTTGTGACAATTTATAACTAAGATTGATACATATCATCACTCACCAAAACATCACTTATATATAATAGCATTTGGAGTAGAAATGGAGGAGAAGAATCCAAATGCCTATCAGATAATCAAAAAGCTAAAAAAGCAAAATTATTCTTATCCCTCAGTGCACTCCAATCCTCCAAGAATGCATGCCCAGATCGATGCTCACTGCTAGTAAAGTGTAAAGCTAATAAGGGAGGGTGGAGCTTAGTTTGTTCCATGCATCTTTTTCCTCAGCTCCTTTACATTTGTCTTTTTTTTTTTTTTTTTTTTTTTTTTTTTTTTTTTTTTTTTTTTTTTTTTTGTAACCAAGGTAACTTGTAGATACTATTTGAGGGTGAGTGTATTATACACTCAATTTTAGAGCATGCAAGACGGCAACACCGCGCCAATTTTTAGATCGAGGACCTAATTAATATTTATTTTTGACCTAGTTAATTAATTTAAATCGGAAGTGAATTGAAGTAGGAACTATGATTTTTTTGCATTCACCTGGTGTTACACCCTTCATACTTATTTGAAGTAAAAATCGTATATTTTATGGTATTGGTTTTAAATATTGCGCTTATACTTTTGGTAGGGCCTCGTTTATTTATAAGAATGTGGCCACAAAAAATCAAAAAATCGGCCCTAAGTGTATATTGAGTAATGCTTTGTAATCGTAATTGACAATGTATTACAAGGATTCAAGGAGGTAAACCAATCTAAGTTGTCCAAAGCTGACTGACTCAAACCAATTAAGAATATCAATGGACGGCTCCTGTTGGAGTTGAACTTATAACCTTTAGTTACTAAGTCAATAGTTTTACCAAGTGTGGCTGCCCCACATTTGTCTGTCTTTGTTGCTTCTGTCCAATACACGGCAAAACATAGAGTTGTGAACATAATTATGAACATATAGTTCTATAATTATGAATATAGAGATTCGATAATTGTGAATATGAAGTTAAAAAATTATGAATATATAGCTTTATAATTATGAATATATTTTTCTGAAACGAAATATAGAACAATAATTATGAATATATTTTTCTGAAACGAAATATAGAACAATAATTATGAATATATAACTTTATAATTATGAACATATAGTTCAGTAATTATAAATATAGAATCGTGTCTGGCATAACGATTGCCAGTACACCTAGTGAGAGACACGCAACTTCAGTTCGGACCATTCTTCTTCTTTTAGACTTTAAAGATTCTAATATCATATTTAAGCCTGTCTGAAGTGCATGTGCAATTTCGTATATACTGACAAGTGCCTAATCTGCGGAAAATTTCTCTAAATTTGACTTATGTTTTGATTCTTCTATGGTTAACTTTTGAAAATGTATATTCTATATAAGCACTACAAATCATATATTATTTATCAAGCATTATATCTTCAAATATTGATTCTTTAATTTGTTGGCAAACAATAGAAGTTGATGAATTGCTTCTTCAACAATCTTACTGTCATGTTACTAGTGGGGTAGATCTTGCTATATTATTCTGCTAACTGGAATGTCATTAGTGACCCAAAATGAAGACAAGTTTGCAGTTTAAAGAACATTGAGCTATTTAAAGTAGCGCGGTGGACCTGCTACCATGCTAAACCTGTCCATTCCCTTCCATCTGTCTCTATAACCCCATTTCCCCTACAGCATGTTTGGTTCACGGAATGAATTTTGAGGTAATAGGAATGCTATTCCATAATGAATGGAATAGACAAGGAATAGAATAGGAATTGTATTCTATTGTTTGGTTCAAGGAATAGACTTTAGGAATTATGTATTACAGTGTTTGGTTGATTTAAGGAATAGAAATGAAATATGTTTTAAAAGACATAAATACCCTTATAAAAATATGTGATGGTGGCGATGGTGGTGGTGGCGGCGGTGGTGGTGGTGGCGATGGTGGTAATGGTGGTGGCGGTGGTGGTGATGGTGGTGGCGGCGGCGGTGGTGCTGGGGTGGTAGTGGTGGTTGTGGCGGTGGCAGTGGTGGGGGTGGCGGTGGTGGTGGCGACGGTGACGGTTGTGGCAGTGGTGGTGGTAGTGGCAACGGTGGTGGTGGCAGTGGTGGCAGTGGTGGCGGTGGTGGTGGCGGTGGTGGTGATGGTGGCGGCGGCGGTGGTGGTGGTGCTGGGGTGGTAGTGGTGGCGGTGGCAGTGGTGGGGGTGGTGGTGGAGACGGTAACGGTTGTGTGAGTGGTGTTGGGGGCGGCGACAGTTGTGGCGGGGGTGGTGGTGGCGGTGGTGCTGCTGGGTGGCAGTTCTGGTGGTGGTGGTGGTGGCGGCGGCAGCGATGGTGGCGGTGGTGGTGATAGTGTTGGTGGCGATGGCAGTGGTGGGGGTGGCGATGGTGGTGGCGACGATGACGGTTGTGGCAGTGGTGGTGGGGCGGCGACAGTTGTGGTGGCGGCGGCGGCGGTGGCGATGGTGGTGGTGGGGGCGGCGGTGGTGGGGGCGGCGACGGTTGTGGCAGTGGTGGTGGTGGCGACGGCGACGATGGTGGTGGTGGCGGTGGCGACGGCGGTGGTGGCAGTGGTGATGGTGGTGGCGACGACGGTGGTGAAATAGGATAAATTTATATATAGGAACAAAAATTAGGTTAAAGAAAGGGGTAAAAAAGGAAATAGATTCTAAAGTCTATTTCTGAGCGTTCAGTAATAGGCTAATACCAAGGGGGCCCTTAGTAATAGCTATTACCTTATTTGAGGTAATAGGCTATTACCGGGAATATTATTCCTGGTAATAGAAATGGTTACCAAACAACGGAATAGGCCTATTACTGGGAATGCTATGCCATTCCCGGCCTATTCCCTTCCATCTGTCTCTCTACCCCATTTCCCCTATAGCGCGTTTGGTTCACGGAATGAATTTTGAGGGAATAGGGATGCTATTCCACATGGAATGGAATAGGTAAGTAATAGAATATGAATTGTATTATGTTGTTTGGTTGGCTGAAGGAATAGACTTTAGTAATTGTATTCTAGTGTTTGGTTGGTTAAAGGAATAGAAATGGAATAGGTTTTAAAGACATAAATACCCTTATACAAAATAATAATAATAATAAAAAATATGATTATGATATACTGAATGTTATATATATATATATATATATATATATATATATATATATATATATATATATGTTTATTTATTAATTTATTTATTTATATTTATATTTATATTTATATACATGTATATGCATGTGTGTGTGAGAGAGAGAATAACAATAACAATAACAATAACAATAACAATAACAATAACAATAACAATAATAATAATAATAATAATAATAATAATAATAATAATAATAATAATAATAATAATAATAATAATAATAATAATAATAATTATTATTATTATTATTATTATTATTATTATTATTATACAAAAACATATTTATTTTTATATTTATTTTCTCACTTATCCCACATCGGTTGGAGAAGTAAGGAATGGAGCCTTGAGGCTCCTATAAAAGGAGCCTCAAGGCTCCATAATTTCAATTGCAATGCTCATCCGCTAGGCAAGCTTGCAATGCCCATCCGCTAGGCATGCAGATGAGCAGACTACTTAATTTATGAGATAAGGCTCCATAATTAAGGAGTCTTATACAGTTAATTTATTTTTATTTACACACACACACACACACACACACACACACACACACACACACACACACATATATATATATATATATATATATATATATATATATAGATGGATAAAAATTATAATTAATTAAATATATACATTTATATAATACATTATATTTATTAAATAAATATAAATATTATATAATGTCCAAAGGGTATTTTTGGTATCTGTGATATAAAAGCTATTCCCAAGGGCATGGGAATAGCTAATACCAAGGCCCCCCCTAGGAATGGCTATTCCCCTTGCGAAGGTAATAGCTCATTCCTAGGCATGCTATTCCCATGACAAAATGATCCAACCAAACGATGGAATAGGTCTATTCCAAGGAATGTTATTCCATTCCTGACCTATTCCATGAACCAAACATGCCACTAGAGTTTCTTGTTAAGGTTTTTAACTAATGTGGAAAGATAAATTTTGGTGTTGGGCACTCCCTGCAAATAAAAGATTTTGTCAATTTTTTTTTTTTTAAGCCAACAGTGAGATGCAATTGCGTTTCACCGACCAATCAACGGGCGCATGTGTTATATGTGGCCACTGGAGTGTTTCAGACCTCTTTGTTTTATTTTTTATTTTTTATTTTTCTTCATTACAATGAACTGGTCGTTACAAGTAAAATATAATGCAACGGTCAGTTCTTGTTGTTTATTTTTTTAATTTAATTTAATATACATTATTATTAAATTTATTATTTTTATTTATTAAATTCATAATTATCAATTAAATTAAAATTTCATAATTATCAATCCTATTTGATCAATTTTATAATTACAATTATAATTTTTAGAATGATGATAAATAAATAATTAATTAAAATATAGGATAGTAAAATAGTGGGTCTAAAAAAAATTGAGAAAAAATCTCAAATTATTGTGAAGAAAGATTTTTGTGATTGAGTGAGATAGTAAATGATGAGGTTGATGTTAGAGCTCACAAAAAATTGAGAAAAAAAAAATCTCAACTATTGAGGAAGTCCTTAATAATCAATGCTGCTTAGCCGCATTCATTTGCAAGATTTAGACCTCTTTGAGGTTCAAATCTTAATAGTCGTGGCTATGCGTGTTGGGAATTTAAAAATTTGTATAATATAACTTTGTTATTATGATATATATAATATATAATATGTGAATATAGAATTATTTGAATCTTTAAAATATAGATTAATATAAATAATTTTAATTTGTTAATTATTCAAATATAATTTTCATTAAATTTAATATATATTACTCCGTACTACTTAATTAATTGTGCTAGGGCTCATGTCTCTAGGTTAGAAAATCGGTGTCAGGCCGATTGAATAACTGTTTGACTAACAATCAAATATCAATAAAAAAAAATTATTTTTGGGTAAAAAAAAGTCATAGCATAAAATCCAAAAATGGCTAAAAGTTAAATAAAAATAAAAATGTAAGTTAATGAAAATTAACATTGAGTTCAATAAAATTATAAAAATCAAATACACAATGAAGAGACTCATAGTTATCATCATACAACATCATGATCATGACAACAAGTAAAAGTTAAAAACTTCTGCATACGGCGAGAGCATTCGGGACATCTTTCATTTTCAGGAATTTTGCTCAAGGTAATTGGATATTCAAGGGTACAACAAGAATGCTTATCCTTGGAAAGCATCTCATGGTGGTCTTTGAATGCCTGGCCAAAACTTTTGGTGGCATCTATGTTTTCCTTCCAAATCTCGTAGTCATTCATGGCTTGCAACATTTTACTTCCATGTCCACATACAACCACTTCTGATCCTTTGCTTAACAAGGCCCATCCTTCAGTTGTTGCATTCATGCTTTCATAGGACAATAATTTTTTGAGTCCTTGCAAAATTTCATCATTGTTGTTTTCTTTAACAAGGTGATTAGTCATCTCTAAATATTGAATTCTTGACAAAAACATACTTCGAAGACGAGTCCAAAACCACCATACTCCATAAGAATCACGCAATGGGCAATGACTCATTCTTTCTTTATTAATGATTCCTCTTATCATTTTGTTTTTCCCAATGTAGGCCAACTCAAAGTTCATTTGGATTTTGGAGGCAACTTCACGTGACTTACTAAGAAATTCTCGAATCCATTTAATGTTGTTTCCTCCATATAAGAAAATATATTTTTCCTCACGAATCTGAAAATTAAAGAAAAACATATTAGCTAATTGATAAATAAATAATTATATATATATATATATATATATATATATATATATATATATATATATATATATATATATATATATGAAAATACAAAGTTACTTGAATGTGGGGTTACCCAATCATTTTTTGGTTTGCCAATTCTAGAATAGTAGTCAGGTGCCAGTAGATGAAGAGTCCAAGCAGTTTGTTGTTGCCACAAAAGTTTCTCCTTTTCGCGGTCATACGGAGTAGATTGTGCTGTCTGATGATAAATGAAAATAAGGTAATTAATTAATGTTATAAAATGCTTATAATACGGTATAAATTAAATGAATCAAAAAGTAGAAGGTCGTAGTAGTGTACCACTTCTTCAATTATGCCTTCAACATTCTTTTTCCAAGCATTTATCTGTGAATCAATGTTATGTACCAAATCCCTTGTAATTGAGTCAATTTTAGGTCCCACATGCCGGGATTCCGAACTTGCTTCAATGCCGTAAATTCCTTGCTTCAACTCGTTTTGTATGATAAGACTTATGTTATCTGGTACGACATTTATCCCTATTATATCTTTTTCAATATAATATGCGTCCCAGGTGAGCATCATGTGGATGACATTTGAGTGGACAATCCTTCCACGTTGGTCAAGTGAAACAATTATGGGTTCCTCTCCCCATCTCATTTTAAACAACTCTTCCTTAACAAATTTTGTGAATTGTGGCCTCATCATTTTTTGTGGATCATTCAACCAAGGGAAGTCTATCTTGTTTCTTAATTGATGGCATTGTTGCTCATACTCAGTGCTCCATGATGCATCATCCTGTGTGATTGGGATCCAAATAATATATGCTCTTGAGCTGTAGTGAAAGCAATTTAAAAAATGAATCCATTCTTTAGGGACGCCAACACCTGATGTTATTAGCAGCATCACTAATGCGTGTTTCCAATTCCTTAATGACTGTTTCCAATGCCTTATTGCCTAACATATAAACAGAAATATTAACATGTATATAAGAATGGAATGCAAGCCTAATAATTCTTAACCCAATTGTGTATACACACCGTACCAACTACCATAATAGCAATAATTAGGATATGATTGCCCGCATGGCAGTTCAGTTAATCACAGGAGTGAAGTTTGAGAATAATGACTAGGGATCGAGTCTCACTGACAATAATGTGGAAATAACCTCTTAAAGTGAGAGGGACTCCTATATGATTGTATTACAATTTTAAAATTTACATTACATATATTAGTTAGATGAAATAGCTCTTGTAAATCCAAATATTTTTTTTGAGAATTCTAGTAAATCCAAATATAATATAATTAATTAAACAAATCTAGTTCAATAATATTTTAATAAAAAAAAAAAAACAGCAGTACTGCCGTAGTAATAGTATGGAATTATATTGAGAGAAATATATGGTTGTTTAGATTCAAAACCTTACCCTAAAACTCCGATTAAGAAATATTGTCTCATCATCATCATTTTTGACATTAAACATTAATTTGAAAACTTCTAACTTATTAGAAGAGCCGTGATATAATGCATTTCGCAATGCTTCATAAGATTCCTCCTCCTTTTTCTTTGCTGCATATATTCATATGAAAAAACAATGTATTAATATGTGTGTATATAATCTTCAATAAATAAATCAAATGCGTAAGTATTTGGCAACCGCGTTATATATAAAATCAACTAACCTAGTTCTGCAGAGAAAATAGCCATAAAGGTGGTTATTTCCCTATGTTCATTTTGAACCCTGTAACAACAACAACAATAATAATAATAAGCTAGTACATTATGTAATTTTGGGTGATTTTTTGTGAGATGGGTCGAGATAGAAAATATAATACTTATGCTGTGAAAATTTAATACTAATTAGAAATTAAAAATATGTATAGATCAGTAATATTTATGGATTGAACAGTTACTTATAAGAAAAATTAATTATAATATTAATCATAAATAAATTAATTGATTGTAACTAGACCTGGCAATTCGTGTATACGGGTTCGTTAACGGGTCGACACGATAACGACACGTTAAGATTAACGGGTTTAAATTTTTAACACGAACACGAACACGATTTGTCAACGGGTTAAACGGGTTGACACGATAGACACGTTTTGTTAATAGGTTTCGGGTCGTGTCAACACGATATGACACGAAACTCGTTTAAACCCGCTAAAACTATTAATATATTTTAAAAAAAAAAAAACTAAAATTTAAATTTAAGTTATATAAAAAAAGAAATAAAACCTACCATTCAATCCATCAAACAAACTAAACAAAATATTCAATTTATATAACATTCATAAAATGATAAAATAACATACAAAAATCATAATTAAAGAAGTCCATGCTAGTTTTTAGAATAAAATTGAACACAATAAAAATTCAAATTTCATATTGTTGAACATCAATAATTGGTATATGATCTTGGCCTAATGTAGTAAATTCATCATTAGTCATGTTCATGATATCTTTTGTAATCTCATTCATAAAAATGGTTCTTAGCGGGTTATAAACAGGTTTGTGTAAACGGGTTGACACGATAATATTAACGGGTTAAACGGGTTCTTAATAGGTTTAACGGGTTGACCCGTTAAGACACGAAACATAACGGGTTCTTAACGGGTTAACCTGTTAACGACCCGGGACACGTTAATGCTAAACACTAACCCGTTATTTTCGTGTCCGGTTTCGTATCGTGTTAACGGGTCGTGTCCATAATTGCCAGGTCTAATTGTAACTAATGAAAGAAAATGTAATACTTGTGAAAAATTAGACTCGTCTTACGGAATCACATATGAGAGTTCATGATCATAGAGATTTGCCATGTAATTTTTTCCATGCAATGTCACGAGGCATTGTACTATCAGAAGGTATGTACTACGTAAACCTTACCTTTTGACCCTAGTAAATCTTATTTTGTGACCCTAGTCGCATCGGTAAAGGACTATATAGAGAGATAAACTAGTACAGATTTTTCGTAACTAACCGACACAAACCAAGAATAGGTACTAATAGTACACTATATTGATATTAACTGAACTAATAATGAATATATCAAAACATTAAATCTTACTTGAAGCGAGTGCCACAGGGATAGGCGGCACAGTTAACAATATTTCTGCCTATCCAATAGGCAACCATTGGCAAGGCCGAAATTACAGATTGCGGAGGGGAGTAAGATAGGCATTGTTTGAGCTGAAGCACACATTTGGTCAGTTCTATGGCTGAACTAATTATGCAGCAATCCTCAATTGGACAATGACTACTTTGTTTAAGATGTGCCAACTTCCAGGCTAATCCTTTGCCTTTTTGCAGTAGTCGTGAAAAAAGGATGAATTCTCCATGGATTATGGAGAAAGCTGCAATCATAAGGACTAACTTATCCTCCCATGAATATGGAGACAAAATGCTCAGTACATGAATTGTGGTGGAGTGTCGATTTGCAATTGCACCGGAAGCTATCTGAAAATATAATATAGCCATCCTATCAGTCATTGCAAACATTTTACTATACATTTTGATCATCTATCATATATATATATAGCTCCAATCGATCCCAAGAATCTAATCACACCTCGAATGAAAGTTGTTTGATATGAAGTGGAAGTTGCTTGTAACTATCGAGCTCTTCTAGTTCATCATTCAACTCCTCCACCATGGCTTTTTGAGCAGTACCCTGCAGATCCCCATACATGCATGCATGCATTAGTTGTATAGTAACACAATCTAACTATTTTTGGTCGTAGGTAAAGTCAAACATAAAGTAGTTTTAAGATATCATGAAGTAATAAGTAGAATGACAAACCATCTCAAGGCTGAGAGTCTTTTCTGCCATGTTTAAAATGGCGTTGGTGTTAAATTCTCTACCATCATAGTTGTGAGTCCACAAAACCTGTTCCCTGATTACACTCTCATCAACAGGTTGGCTGCTTAGTGATGTGAGCATCATTGTCGGTTGTGAAATTCTTCTCTGGGATACAAGTACACTTGTTTGGGCTGCCATATTGAATGGAGAATATGTATAAGCTACTTGAGGGTGGTTTCTGACAATTTATAACTAAGATTGATACATATATCATCAGTCACCAAAACATCACTTATATATAATAGCATTTGGAGTAGAAATGGAGGAGAAGAATCAAAATGCCTATCAGATAATCAAAAAGCTAAAAAAGCAAAATTATTCTTATCCTTCAGTGCACTCCAATCCTCCAAGAATGCATGCCCAGATCGATGCTCACTGCTAGTAAAGCTAAGCTTAGCTTGTTATTCCATTCATCTTTTTCCTCAGCTCCTTTACATTTGTCTGTCCTTTTTTTTGAGTAACTAGAGAAACTTGTAGATATTATCTGAGTGTACAGTGCGTGTATATTGAATAATGCTTTGTAATCTTAAACCACAAAATTTTTCATAATTGAGTGACTCAAATCAATTAAAAAAGGTGAATAGACAACTCCCAATAAAATTAAACTTATAACCATTAGTTACCAAGTCAATAGTTGCATCAACTGTGGCTGCCCCACATTTGTTCCGTCTTTGTTGCTTCTGTCCAGTACACATAGTGAGACACGCAACTTCAATTCAGACCATTCTTCTTCTTTTAGACTCTACGCATTCTAATATCATCTTTAAGCCTGTCTGAAGTGCTTGTGCAATTTCGTATATATTGACAAATGCCTAATCTGTAGAAAAGATTTCCCACCAAATTAAGTTTTATATATTTTTATTTCTTTCTGATCTCATAATTAAAAAAATAGTGTTAATTATATTTTTGGTCCTAAATTTATAAGTGGCAATTCACTTTTAGTCTTTTTTTTTTAAACATTCACTTTTAATCCTAGTATTATTATGGCATCACTATTTTTAAAAATTATTATGGCATCACCATTTTTAGTCCTTCATCAACAAAACAATTTAAATGTCGTCAATTACAAGAGCATTTCAGTCTTCAATTTTGATTTTTTTTTTCAAAAAATAAACATAAAAAATATAACGGGTCAACCTACTTTGTATAAAAACAATCGAAATGTTCTTGTATTTAATGACACTTTGATACTCTGTTCTAACAAAATACTTTTTGGCAGAAGTGTCAAATATGTCATCTATTAGTTAAATTTGTTCGATTAACTTTTTTTGCAAGTTGATAACATGTTGCCTATTTAATTATTAAAAAATATACAATATATATATATATATATATATATATATATATATATATATATATATATATACATATATAACATGTTGCTAACTGATCTGGAAAATGTCGCCGGAAAAAGCCTCACGCGTGGAGCCGCGTGGCATCGGAGGTCAGCCTGTGAGGTCAATCTGTTTACCATCTCCACTTGCACGTACTCAGTGGGAGACAGATGAAATGGCCTCCAGGCTGATCGAGGTTATATATGATCAAACTTTGGCATCGGGCCGGGAAAAATGTTAGTAGTTTGATTAATTTGCTTTTCATTTATTCAGTATTTCTTAGTCCATCTACGAACTAGATAAAATATATCAATGGATTATTCAACTTTACAATAACCTACTTCGAAATCAAAATGTGGATATAAATAAATGTCTAAATCTTATTATGCAAATATCAATTATATATGGAGACTTTAGACACAATGTTATGTGGACCATAACAAAAACTACATTTTTAATATACTAAATCTATATTTTTTTTTACTGAATGTACATTATACAATATAATGTACACTCAGTACGAAAATAATGTACATCCTCTGAATACAATATACATTATTCTTGTACTGAATGTATATTATTTCACAGTATACAAAATATGTTCCACACAATAATGATTGCATATTCACTAGTCATGTTGTCGTCCCATGGCATGGCATGCATATATCAACTTTGACGAAAAAAGTAATATGTATACATTAAATATAAAAATATTATATTTGTTTTAAATAATATTATATTTTTTTATAAGTAATCAACATTTTATTTTTAGATGATTTCGTATTATATTTTTTAGAGTTAATTATCAAAATGGTCCCTTAACTATAGTGAAATTACTAATTTGGTCCTTGACTATTTTTTTTAACCAATTAAGTCCCTTAACTTAAAAAATTTTAACCAATTTGGTTCTCCGTTAGTTTGACCGTTAGTCAACGGTTAACTTAGGACCAAATTGGTAATTTCTCTATAGTCAAGGGACTATTTTGGTAATTAACTTTAGGGTGGGCAATTCGGTTTAGTTTTCTCGAATCGAACCGAACCAAAGTAATATACCGAACAACCGAACGATATTGAATTCTTGTATACCGAACGGTTCGATAAAAAATCCGATCCAATCTGAATTGTTCGATAAAAAATTGAACTGAACCGAATACAATTTGATTTTTTTAAAAATATAATAATAATAATAATAATAATAATAAATAAATAAATAAATAAATAAAAAGTAAATCCAAGTCCCTTACTGCTTGCTCTGTCGTTCAGCTCATATTTTCACGGGTATCTCTCGTAAATATTTTATTTGATTTCTTTATGGTTTGTTATCAAAAGTTATATATTATGTGTTATGATGTTTACATAGTCCATATCTAAAGTCTAATATAAGAATTCAATATCGTTCGGTTGTTTGGTATATTACTTCGGTTCGGTTCGGTACGGTTCGATTCGAGAAAACTAAACCGAATTGTTCACCCCTAAATTAATTACCAAAATGGTCCCTTGACTATAGCAAAATTACCAATTTGGTCCCAAGTTAACCGTTGACTAACGGTCAAACTAACAGAGGACCAAATTGGTTAAATTTTTTAAAGTTGAGGGACTTAATTGGTTAAAAAAATAGTCAAGGACCAAATTGGTAATTTCACTATAGTCAAGGGACCATTTTGGTAATTAACTCTATTTTTTATTACAAAGAAAGGGGGACACCCACATATACTATTTACGCCTTCACCAAGGCTCAAATCTAAGACATCTCACATAAAGAGCCAACCAGATGCCAGTGGACTACAATCAACTTGGTTCGTATTATATTTGATAGTATAAGTATTACATTTGCATATTAAAAAAATAAACATAAAAAATATAATAGGTCAACCTACTTTGTATAAAAAGATCAAAATGTCCTTGGCATTTTACCGATTTTGTTGAGAGGACAAAAAATGGTCATATTACAATAATACTAGGACTAATTAAGGGTGTTCTAATAAAAAAAAAAAAAAAAAACTAAAAGTGGACTGTCAGATATAAATCTAGAACAAAAAATAAAATTAACTCTTTTTTTTTTTATAAGAAAAAAAATATCAAGTTGGTCAATAAATTCCTCAAATAGTGCCATTTGGTCTCCAACTGAATAGAAAATCCTCAACCAGATATCTTAAATGACAAAATATTGAAATTAGGTCTTAATTTTAATTATTCAACAAGTTACTATTGATGTAGTACTCACTATGCTAATACATAACGTTTTAGTGCTCATGTGGATCCTAAGTGTATGTAATGTTATTTCATTTTCATTTGTTTTTAATAGAGAAAATTTCAATTTTGGTCACTCGACTATAGGGGCTTTGTTAATTTTAGCACCTAACTTTTAAAATTATCAATTTAGTACCTTGAGTATGTAATTTTTGTCAATTTTGGTCACTCAGGCCAAATTGCCGGCCAAATTTGGCTGAAAAATTTTAATCCAACATTTAGTCTAAAATTTTAGGGGCAAAATAGTCTTTTTTATCCTTTCTCCTAATTCCCACCTGCGGGCAAATTGTCGCGCAGCGCCGACGAGGTCGTACGAGTGGGCCTTGTTGGGCGGGTGGAAGCCGAGGATGGTGGTTTCCGATGTGGTTAACAGGACGCGGCTCCCTGGGTTGTTCTCAGCTATGTCTTTGGCGACCTAGAGGTCGGTGATGCCGCCTTAGCAGTCGAGAAAGTAGAGCATTACACGATTGACGTCACTTTTCAGGCCAAGTTCGGCAGCCAAGTAGAGATCGCCGCCGGGCAGCCAAATTTCGCTCTAGGAAATGTAGACGCTCTTCTTCGTCTTGTTGCAGCAGGAGGGAATTAAGAGAAAGGATAGAAAAGACCATTTTGACCCTAAAATTTTAGACTAAATGTTAGATTACGTTTTTTCGGCCAAATTTGGCCAGCAATTTGACCAGAATGACCAAAATTGACAAAAATTACATACTCAAAGTACTAAATTGACAATTTTAAAAAGAGCAAATACCAATTTTGGTCCTACGAGTATTAGTAAAATGACAGTTTTATTCCACATGTTTAATTCCTACCAATTTACATCCACGACTATTGTTTTAGTACTAATTTTCATCCACAGCTAATTTTTTAGTGTCAAAATTCATCACACCGGTCACTCATCCGTTTCAGATATGCCGAAATATGAAATTATTAAGGATATTTTTGTCTTTTTCAAATTAAGATCTCAATTTGAGCATGAATAAAGGAATTTAAGCTGTAAGATCGATCTCAATTCACAGTTCTCCTCCTCAAATTAAGGTAGGATGAAGAGGAGAACTGCGAATTGAGATTGATCTTAGGACTTAAATCTCATTATTCATGCTCAAATTGGGATGTTATGTTGAAAAAGGATGAAAATACCCTTAAAATTTTTAAATTTTGGCATGTCTTAAACGAATGAGTGACCAACGTGATGAATTTTGACACTAAAATAATAGCCGGGGACAAAAA